AAACAAGAGTCCGATCTCTCCTATTTACCCTAAAAATAAACCCCGCTTCCAGAACTGGGTTCGTTTCTGGCGGCGCAGAAATCGATGACACTCCGCTTGCGCAGAACAAAATATGGTTCCCAACAAAACAGCCTCCGAGACAAAGTAAAATCGTTCTAGATCTCACCGTGGGCCGGTAATCCTCGTGATGGGGAGGGGAAGGGGAAGGGAGAGGTGGTGGAGGGGGGGGAGGAGAAAAAGGAGGCTAAGGTGGGGCGGAGACGGAGAAGGAGAAGGAGTCGAAGAAGGATTTGCCTGTGAGGGAGGCTAATGGCGAGGCTAAGGGCGAGGAGAAGGAGAATGGTGAAGGTGGAGGAGGAGAAGGAGGAGGCTAATGGGGAGGGCGAGAAGAAGGAGGAGTGAAATGAGCGTGTGTTTTGTTGCTAATAGCGGCTGGATAGGTAACAAGGGCATTTAGGGGCTCTTTTCCTTTCCGTTTATTTCCTTAATTTTCCTTATCCGGATGACGTCTGCTGTGATCTGCTCTCTTGGATGGTTCGGGTTGAAAAATGGAAACCAGGAGCTGTATATAGTATCTGTATGTTTTTGAAGTTTTCTTTGTTTTGATAGCAATGGGAGTTGGGTATCTCTCTGCCTTGATCGAACTTGCTCGAGACAGCTCAACCTTCACCATCATCTGGTTTGGTCCCCGTCACATGGAAAACCTCGTCTATAGCCGCCACATCACCGACGCCCCCCATCGCCATGTTGCTGTTGCTGTTGTGCATGTTGGTGGTCATGATGGCTGACTTTCTGTGTTTGTATTAGCCTTTGTATAAAACCAGCGACAACATGGAGAAAAAGAAACAAAAATATAAAGGATGAAGTATCGGGCAGAAGGTAGAAATTGCAATGGTGCCAAATAACAACAGCGTCGCTGTCTCTCCATTCCAGTAAGCACCAAGCACCGACTCACCGCATTCCGCCTCGCTGCCCGAATTGACGACCGCGTGTAGCTGCAGCCAATCAATCAGCATACTCATCATTTAAATTTGGACTGTCTCGAGCGAGATTCTTACAAAAACAACAAGCCAGCCATGGTGAAGGCGGCCACGGGCGCCATAATGGTCTACATCAATTCGGCGGAAGTCAGCATAGCATTCTTGCAGAATTGATGGGATTAGCGAGGACTGAGAGTGTGAAATACCTTTGGGTTGATGTTACGAGACATGTTTCATTATCTCCCGGTTGGTATTCACCAACTCAGCAATCAAGGGAGACCGAGGTCTGATGTTTGGATTTGGGTGGATGGCGTGGTGGTCTTCGCCAAAATATTTGGTCAGGGGTTTTGAGGGGCTCACTATCTGCCAGCTGCCTAACAACGGACCCAAGAAAACCATCCAACTTACAACACCTTACAAGACAATGAACTTGGTTTTTATCATGTCGCTAATTTTTAGTTACGAGTCTGATCAACAGTTTGTAAAACGGCCAAGGAAAGTGGCGCTGTCAGGTACCTCTGCACAATTTGCAACACACAGCTGACTGGTGAATATATCTCATATTCCCCTCCCCATCCGCCTCCTGTCTATAAATGCATATATGTACAAGTACACCCCACAGAGCAAAGCCATCGTAAACCCTCCCCACCGTCCCGGCCCCAAGGGTATGCATGGTCCCCAATCCAGCCCAGCAGAGCACCACACAACACGGTGGAGTGCTATGCGTACAAACACAAAACAAAAGCCCAAAATGAAAGTGCTCCCTTCAAACGAATCAGCCGCCAGGTCCCCAGTGCCCCTTGATCGGAGATGCCTGTCCGTGGGTCTGTCTGGCCGCCCAAGAGAAAGGAAAGAGGAGGAAGAAAAGGACCACTGGCTGTGGTGGATAATGAAATGGATACCGCTTGCTGCTGCCGCTTGCTGCTGCCGCTTGCTGATTTGGTCGCCAAAGACAACTGCCTGCCCGCCCCGGTCTATGTTGCATCGCATTTGCTGCTCTTCCAAATGGGGGTATCATATCGTGTCAAGAGAACCGTTAATTCCCCGCCGCTGCCGTCGGGGTTAGAGGGATGATGGGCGATGGGTAGAGGCAGGAGGGCGTCTCTTGCTCAAGAATATGCTAAGAGCGCCATCCAGGAGCAACGGGGAATGGTGATAAGGTGATTCGCATCGACTTCTTTGAGGAAAAAAAAAGTGGCTGTTTAGAATTCGAAAAATGGCTCCTTTCCAGCTCATGCCCCAGGGAACTCCCCCTTCAGCAACTGAAGCTTCTCCCTTCCATCTAGTCGCACATGGTTGAGGTGGCGCATCACGTACTCATACGTGAGCATGGTGACGGTGGCGGCCGGCACGGCACGCATCATGTTGGTGCCCAGCCCTGCGTAGAATGCCCGCCACCCCTCCTCCCGGAGCATGGTCCGAACCGTAGAAACAATACCCTTGTACTTGGGTCCGGCCTGTGGTTGCTGGGACGCTCCGTTGACGCCCGGCTGCACGGGTCCCATGCCTTCCATGTATTCGTGTCCTGGCATCGGCCGCCGTTGTGTTTGCAACCTTGTGCGGATGACCTCGTGGGGATAGGTCGCACTGCTGGCGAGGATCTTGGACATGATGGATGCGGAGAGAATACCGAACCAATGAGCCTTGTCGTCCTGGCCTGCCTCGGGCGCTGCGCCCATGCCCCGGCCGGTGAACTTTACTTTGAGGTACTCGTATGCAGGAAACTGGACGGCGACGTGAGTGAGCCCGAGGAGAGCCGGTGTGAGGCCCGAGTAAAACGACAAGATGCCCTCTGTCGTGTACATCTTGCGAGCGGCATCCAATGTCGACCTGTAGTGCCATGGCTGATGTAGCGTTGGTCGTGATGTCGGTGTATTGGCCCCTCTAGGGAAGAGTGAGAACTGCGTCCTGTTGTGGCTGGTTGACTGTGACATCAGACGGGTCTTGATAACCCAAATCGGGTTCGTGACTATGGTGCTGCTGCCCCCAGCTATGATGGACGACCAGAAGTTGACCACGAATGAGTTGTCTGCAGAGCCCCGTTAGCATCAATTCCGATTTTCCCATCCATTGAACAAGCAACCCACTGTGATATTCACCCAAAAAAAGCTTCGACTTGTTGTAGACGGTGAACCATACCGCCCATGTCGGCAGGTATCCCATTATGATGGGCCCCAGGCCCCTGTACAGCCCTCTCAGTCCTTCCTGGTTCCATATCACACTTGCTGTCCCGAACAAACCCTTGTAAATCCTCGGGTGCCCTGACCCGTGTCTCGCAAATCCGCCCTGTGCCTGTAGCTTGGTCTTTATGACGTCGAGCGGGCAGGTGACGATTCCTGATGTGAAGCCACCTATTGCGCCCGACAGCGCATTGAACTGTGAATCCGAGGCCCTGACAGCCCATCGCTCCTTGAAGGTGAGCTGGACCGGGTCCGGCATCGCTCCACCAGCTGCTAAGCCTGCCAAGTCTGTCGCCTCCGTTGATGAGTCCGCCGACCGAGACTGCAATACCTGGGAACCAGGCAATGCTACCCCATATTCCGCCCCAGATGTAGGCGCAGGTTGTCCGTGGGGAGAGAGGTGTTCGTTGTGAGACATGCCGCCTTCAGGAAGGGGCAAGATCGTAGTCGTTCGATGGGTGGTTTGCAAACGCACTTTCGATTTCGGGTTCCTCGAGGGCCGGTGGTTCCAGAATAGTAGATGTCTCGGGTCACTGTCACAATTGAGGTGATATTATCGAGGAGCTGTGACCAGCGGTGTAATTCTGTGCCTGCGATTCCCTCTGATGCCGATGTGCGGGGAAGGCGCCCGCGCAGGCAGGGGATCGTGACTTCTAGCAATTGTCACTTCTCATGGACTCAGGTGCGGGGCGCACGGGGCGGTGATCAAATATCCAAGTTCGGCTTGGAAGATCTGGGCGTACGAGTGCGCCCGATTGTCAGGAAACTGGGTTGAGAGTTTCGAGGGCGATGGGTGGGACTTTGAAAGGGAAATGCGCTTGGCGGGTGCTGGCGGGTGCGGGTGCGGGTGGGCCGGTCGGATTGCACAATCGGACGCTGCGGGAAGCCGGTGAGCGCCGATGGGGCTGGCTGTCCCCGGCTCAGGATTTGAATTCTGCGTTGGAGGTGCGGTTTGCCAATGATGGGTCTCACAAAGGGGTCTCCCTGATGGGCCGATTCGGAGGTGGAATTCCTTTCGTGTCATGCAACAACTGCGTTGCGCAGTGCGCACGAGGGCAGTCGATGGTTAGTTGAGATGGATGCCGAGGTGTCTGCAGCGGGCCGGTTGGACTGCAGTGTCCGAAACAGGAATGCGAACCGTTAAAAGTGTAAGAGTGACGGGAATGGAAGAGTGTAAGTGTTGATTCAGCCGTCTTTTGCTCTGCAATACACCGTACTGTTTCAACTCTTCCAGATGGATTGGATGAAATTGCCACTCGGTGCTGTTCTGTGATCTTGCAAGCTTGAAGCATGTAGTAAGTGCTTCAAGCTTGCAGATCACAGTGAACGCCTTTGGACGTTATCAACAAAAGGATCAAGAATTCTTGTTCCCGCTGACCCATTACCTCATCGTGTTGCGTGGTTGTTGGGGGTTTGGGGTTGGGGTTGGGGTTGTCAGGGTTGTGTAACATACATGGGCGCTGAGCAGCTCCCTTACGTTACCGTACCATCCCGAAGATTCAGGCACCAAACCAGGCAGTAACGGTAATTCCCGGGACAGCTTCGAAAGTGAAGGTCTGCATTTCGCGGCAATTTGAATTCAGAAGCTAGAAGCTCAACACGCCCCGCGAACAATCCACAACCGCCGCCATGTCTGTTGCGCCGTCCTTCTACAATGCCGTTTCCAAGCGGCCTTGGCTTGCGAACATGCTCAAGCCGCTTGCCGGCTGGTACGCCAACGCCGCTGGCTACCGTCAACTGGGCCTCAAGTGCGTTGGACCTCTCTTCTTCCGCCCTTCCCTTCTCATCCACCACCTCCCTACCCTACCTCCCCCTCCACCCCCACCAATTCCTCCCGAATCACCAATTGCACCCCCATCCCCCTCCCTCCCCAATTAGCAAACCAAGCAAGCAACGCAAACCACCAAACCAAACTAACCCAACCCCTCCTTCCCCTCACAAACAGGGCCGACGACCTCCTCGTGGAAGAAGACGAGGCCGTGCTCAAGGCGCTCGGCCGGCTGTCGCCCAAGGAGAGCTACGACCGGGTGTACCGGATCCGGCGGGCGACGCAGCTCAGCCTGCAGCAGAAGATCCTGCCCAAGAACGAGTGGACCAAGGCCGAGGACGACGTCCCCTACCTGTCGCCCATCCTCGCGCAGATCTACGCCGAGTCCAACGAGAAGCACGCCCTCGACACCCTGACCGTGCTCAAGAAGCACTAGAGTGCTTTGCTTGTCGTCGAATGTGGGAAGAGGGGGGGAGCTGGGGCGGGAGGGAGGGGGATGCGTTGTGCCGGCCGGGGGGGAGGGAGTGAGGTTCGCGAGGATGAGAAAACTGTACTTTAGGGAAGGGGGAAGTCATGCCCGCCGGGGGTGTGGTAAGGGAGGCGCTGGGGAGGGGAGATAGAGCTGCCGCCGGTATTCGAGAGGACGTGTTGGCATGTATGTGTATAGACTCTGGTGTGTCCCGCCAGCCAGACAACTCGCCCGCCCAATTTACTTTGCGCTCTCACTCACACCATGTATCTAGCTTGATGAGGATTGATTCGACTAGTCCATATCGTAGCTTCGGCATAGGCCTTACGGCTGGGTTCATGTGTGCGTCCAAGCAGGGTCCCAAGGTATATCTACTGGATGTTGAATAGTCTCGCTCCCTACGTAGTTTTTTCTAGTGTTCGGCCGCGACCGCTTGGATAAAGTCACAATGATATACGATTGCCCTACTGGTCCGGCCACCAGCCAAAATAGTGATTTTGTATTGCAAGCACCCCATTCTACGCCAAAGAAAACCGCACCGACGAGTAGAGAGGCAATAGGCCCCAAAGGACTCAACCAAGCGCAGTGAGACAGACTCCTAGCATCATCCAACCATCCACCCATAAAAACAGTAAGCTGCTGCCCCGGTGACCCCCTAAAAACAGCCACCGCCAATTTTCCTACGTGTGTATGTAGCGTTGAACCTTCCCAAATTCAACCCCCTTCATACACCATCCCCCGCCAACACCCAATACCAACGACCAGTCGCATTAACGAGGCACCGCCTCGGTCTCCGTCCCGAAATGCGCATGACACGGCCAAGAAGATGAAAATGAAGTCAGCCGGGAGGCGACCTCAGAAGGTCAGCCCGGCGTCGTCGAGTGCTATGCCACTTCACTGTTTTGTCGCTTCCAAATAGAAAAAACAGGGCGAAGATGCAAACAAGGAAGAGAATAAACAAAAATCCCATCTTAACCGCCTAACGCCTGCCCCCCCCAAGATGGTGAGGGGTTCTGTTTCGATATGCGTCGTGGGCTGTCGTACAATAAGCCAGGGAAACATGGCTTCCTCTGGGGACCGACTTCACGGCTGGTTGCTTTTTCCGTGGGACGGGTCAGAAAAGAGGGCGTGAATCGTTTATACGTTTCCGCCCTTCTCGTCGGTGTCGATATGCCAAACGACATAGTTGGGTAGGCCGTAGACGCCATACCCAGCCCGCTTGGCCATCTTCGCAAAGCCTTCTGTCTCTGCCTGGTTCTCGAAGGCGTAGCACGGAAAGTTGATCCCTGTATTGTGTAAGCCTGCTGCTCACGGCCTCGGCAGCGTTCCCACCTACCTGATCTGTGCACATCAGCCTTGACGATGATGTTGACGCCGCCGACGCCGTCCAGCTCAATCTCCTCGTCCTTGTTGTCTCGCCAGTCCCCCATCCTGGCCATGTACGTCCGCCCGGTGTCGAACTCTCTGTAACCTGAAGCAAAGTCAGTTTACCTGCCATGTGGGGCGTCACAGCCACCGTGGAAACGCACCCTCGACAATGATAGTATCCTTGTCTAGGCCCGCAGCGAGCTTGCGGGCTTTGTCGGATTCGACCCATGAGTTGTAGTCGACTGCGTCAATTGTTAGCTGAAATATTGGCACGAAACATGGATGCTGAACCCACATCTGCCTTCGATGTCGCGGCCGTCTTGGTAGCGGTGGAACCAGATATCTACGTGCGGTCAGCCTCCATGTCAAACGAGCTCCTTGATGCTGTGTCCATACTGGGAACGAGAACATCCCGGTCGTGGGCAATGAAGTCCTCAATAATCCTCTCGGGGCTGTCAACGATATCCGCATCTCTCCAGTACACCCAGGAATGTTCAGGCTTGAGCGCCGTATAGAGGAGATAGTTTCGGGCCTTGCCCAAGGCCTTGCGCCGCGGCGCCTGGGCCTTGAAGCCGTGACGGTCCTCAACATCCTGACTTAGCATGAAGCCGAAATCCTTTTCTACCACCATTGCGCTCCTGAAGGGGACGCTGTCCGGGCGCTTCTGAATCCGGTCGAGCTCGGCGGCGAGCACCGCCAGTGTGTCGTCGGTGGTGTCGCTGACGAGGAAAGCGAGGTCGATGAGGTGGTGGGGGTAGCTCAGCTTGGCGACGAGCTCAAAGTATTTCGAGAGGTACCGAGAGGCGTCCTTGAGGGGAGTGAGGATGAGGACTCGCTCGTTGTTTTGCACGGCCTTCGTCGTGGACTTGATGGGGTTCAGGTCGACGTGTTGGATGGTGGACGAGTTGATCTCGAGCGGCGCATGGTGGTTAAAGATTACGGGGGTGCTGAGGTGGGAGGTCCATGATGCCTGCTCATTCGGCGTCATCTCCATGGGTGGTTTCGAAGGGCCCCAGCAGTAGAACCTGTTGAGTGGGGTGTTAGCGATAGGCAAACGGGCACCTGGGGAATTCATTGGGAGCCGGGAAAGTCGGACCTTTGCATATCCGGCGCAGAGCTTCTGATACCTCGCCATAGCAAGACTATTAAGCCGGTGAGGGCGAGGAGAAGCAGGAACCGCGACCTGGTGAACAAGACCCATATTGCCCTTGTTGGTGGTAGATTTGACCTGGCAGCCTTCCAGCTGACGCCGCCCTTAGGAAGCAGCATTGTAAAGTATTACAATTGCCCTCGACGAGAGCGAGCGCATAAATGGCTCGGCCGGTGGGATCTAGGGCCGTCTTCGCCGTCTGCTTCTTCGGTGCTGTCTTGCGAGAGCCAATCCAAGATTCGAACAGAGGGCCGCGGGGGTATCGCAAGCTGAGATAAGTTCTGGAAGGTGTCTTGATTTAGTGCGACACTAGCGAGCGACGAATAGCAAGGCCACGAGTATTCGATGCGACATCCAAACTGCCAAAAAGATCGTGTTTCGTGCCGCCGGACGCGAGACTGAGGTGTCGTGAGCGGCTTGGGTCCGTCTGCGTTCGTTGTGGCCGGGTGCGTAAGCTCAGCTGCCGTGAAGAGTCGTCGAGGGAATGTTGCGCAACCTAGCTGGTTCCAGGCCTTGTCGACAGGAACCATCGAATGCACCGTCTCGGTAGGGGAAGCGCCGGGATTAGGGGCCCGTGGTCCACTTTTGGTCTGGGCCAAGCCACCTCCACCATCCACCATCCTTCCGCTGCAGAATCTCTAGCTGCAGATGTCACAAACAGCGAGATATCTTCCATAGAAATGAACGAGGGTTTCAGGATAACCGATCCGTATACGGGCCGCTGAGACTCTGGGCAACTATCTTTTAATTTTCAGTTTTCTTCTTCCAGACGTTGGTCCTTTGACTTTTGTGCTTCGACAGCCGCCTTCACCCCGCAGGCCGGGCAGTTCAGACGCCGCCCCCTCTGCCGTGACCCGGCGGCAAAGCTTGTTGGCGCAGGACCGGGAGCAGGACGGGCCAAGCCGCCATCTTGTTCGATACGAGATTTCTCCCGCTTTTCGATGGCATTCCGAGAAGCTCAAAGAAGCTCGCAGACCAGAGCAGTGCTAGGTTGTCCATATAATATATCAGGTATGTGGGTGTGACGAGCTCCTGCTGTACCCACGAAGACCACTAACGAACTAACTACTAACTACCTAACGAGCAACTCTCTCATGTCCCCGCAAGCTTTGCAAGGATGGCTGCAAGCAATTTGGGGGCCCTGCGTGTTCTCTCAAAAGAGTTTCAAGCATCTACCAATCATCCGGCTTGCACTGCCATCTTTCTACACTAAAGTCGGAGGTCATCTCGGGCCGTTGCTCTCGGAACAACTGTTCATTTGTGTCATTTTACAGCGCTGCTAGGCCTAAATCCCCAGGAAACTCTGATTTCCACCATTCGAGGTCTGGACCCCGAATCTGACTCGCACTTCAGGCACGAGCGTTCTTGGCCTGTTTCCAGAAAGAAGCCCGCCTTGGCATGAGACAGACCGGGGCTCCCTTCCCGGATCCGGAGGACGCAGCGCATAACCCCAATTGAGTTTTGGCGGCCCAGGGAATACCACGTGAGCAGGCGCGGGGAGCGTGATGACATCTCGAAGGGCGCGCGTCTCACGGGAGCGAGAGAAGAACAGAATTCCCCGACGTTGAGGGAAGATAGAAAGGGTCTTTTATCCGGCTCGTTGCGACGAAAGTGTAAACAAAAGTATCGTGGGGCACCTACACGCCTGACACTCGCATCTTCACTTCAACTCCCTAACTCAATCATACCATCGCTGGATATGTCCATTCGGACTTGTCTCGTAACCCCGGTATTACTCCCTCGGACGTTCGTTTTTGGCTCTCATCTCCAAACCAAGAAGTCTCAAATTCCCAACCCGGCTCAAGATTTTGCACTTTCGATTCCCTCACCACCTATTTTTGGTTGAGAGCCCGAGAAGCCCCTGGTTCTCACGCTTCGAAATCTGTCCCACGGCCGTGCTTTAAACAGAGGCCCAGAACATGGCATCGCGGAGATCAGCGCGGTTGGCTTCTCTGGTCACCAATGCTGCGACTGTTGAGCCGGCGCCTCCTCCAGCACCTCCAGCGGCATCTAGAAAACGAAAAGCGGTCACGCAAGCACCAGCGGCCGAGGAGACTAAAAAGGCGCCGTCAACTCCACGAAAGAAGCGGAGTAAAAAGCTCGACGGCGTACCTGAAACGCTCACACCTGCCGAAGTTAAGCTCATCGCGGAGGGTGCGCACACACAAAAGCCCCGGCCCGCGGCGGTCTCCCGTCTAGCAGATCCGAACCGTACCAATGCAGTCCTTCGGTCTCCCAAAACATCACGCATCATCGCGCCAACCGCGGTCGAGCCTATACCCTCCAAGCTCGGCGCCGGCAGCAAGTCTACAAGTTTAGCAGCGACCGCAACTACTACTACGACAACAACTAGCATCCTCGAAGAAGCCTGCGCGCACCTCATCAAAGTCGACGCGCGCATGAAGCCGCTCATCGACGCCCACCACTGCCGCATCTTCTCGCCCGAGGGCCTGGCCGAGCAGATCGACCCCTTCGAGGCCCTCTGCAGCAGCATCATCTCGCAGCAAGTCAGCGGCGCGGCCGCCAAAACCATCAAAAACCGTTTCATCGCCCTCTTCAACCCCACCACCACCACCACATCTACCGAACCCGCCGCTCCCACAGACAACAACACCCCCACCCCACCGCCCACCTTCCCGCGCCCCGCCGACGTCGCCTCCACCCCCCTCGAAACCCTCCGCACCGCCGGCCTCTCCCAGCGCAAAGCGGAATACATCCAGGGCCTCGCCACCGAATTCACCGCGGGCACGCTGAGCGCGCAACTCCTCGCGGACGCGCCCTACGAGGAAGTGCTGGCGCGGCTGACGGCGGTGCGCGGGCTGGGGCAGTGGTCGGCCGAGATGTTTGCGTGCTTCGCGCTCAAGCGCCTGGACGTGTTCTCGACGGGGGACCTGGGCGTGCAGCGCGGGATGGCGGCGTTTGTGGGGAGGGATGTGGCGAAACTGAAGGCGAGGGGGGGTGGGAAGTGGAAGTATATGGGGGAGAAGGAGATGGTGGAGGTGGCGGAGAGGTTTAGGCCGTATCGGAGTCTGTTTATGTGGTATATGTGGAGGGTGGAGGAGACGGACGTGAGCACGATGGAGTGAGTGAGTGAGTGAGTGAGTGAGTGGGAGGGTGGGGGTCGTGGTTAGTGGGGGGTGGTGTGGTGGGATGTGCGGGAGGTGTCCCGTGGGTGTGGTTTTGTGTACCCGTTTGGGATTTGGGGGCAACGATGGCCCTCTGTGGGGGTTCCCCTCGTGGGATGTTCCCAGCGAGTTTTTGTCGTACCGCTCAGCTTCTCAGGCTTTGTCTGTGAGACCTCTGCATGTTTCTTTCACAGAACAAACGCCGTGTCGGGGTGGGAGCAGAGTGGTGGCACCAGAAAACAAGCTTCCGTCAATGCATCGTGTTTGCCGCTGCCGGCATTCCCTGTCGATCTCTCAAGGGGATTCGTTGGTCAGGCAAGGACTTTTCCCAGTTTGAATTCCTGGTGCGCGCCACGCTATGTTTCAGGGAGTGATGATCGATACCTCGCAATATTTAACTAACCACTCCCTTACTATGCAGGTCCTCTAGTGGCCACGCAACTCCTCAGTGGTTGGTCGGGCGAGGTCGTTGCTAGGAGCAGGTCGGTCGGCTTGATAGGACGGCGGCCTCCCGACGGACTGCCTGCGTATGTTGAGCACCGCTGCAGCTCGCCACCGTTTCTTGGTTGGTAGCACCTTACACGGGAGAACGGCGTGTTGACGGTGACACAGGACAGTGTGTTGTCAAGGTGTGGCTAGCTGGAAGACGGTGATGCTCACTCACCGCCCAAGCCTGCTAAGGGCGCTACGAGTTAGTTATTAAGGGTCGGCGCCGAGAGGGTAACTAACTATGGTGTTGCCATGCCGCCGTTGATCAACTACGGCGGAACATTTCCGTTTTGCCCTCGGGTCAAAAATACACGTGAACAACAACACAATCCACGGTTGGGTAACTGAGGGCAAGCCCAAGTCGCGCAGTGTCGTTTGGAGCTGACGCAATCATGATGGAGGCCGCTCGGACTTGTCGCACGGGGACATGTAACTATGTAATTCGTGTACAAACCATACACACAGCAACACGGAGACACCGGGACATGGCACTGGGATAAGAGGATAACTCGTGTAGGGAGCTCGGATCAATGACGACGCATTGGGCTCGGAGCTCCTTCATGACGACGTTGTCAGGTGAGCTGACTCCGGTTGCCTGGTTAAAATTATGTGGATGTCGAATACGATCTTGTCCGTATGTTCCTCCACAATGAACGACGCATCATTATGCTAGGTCATGAATCAGCAGGCTCACTAGCCGCAGCTTGTGATCGGACGGCAGTCTGTGGCAGCGGCCAGACCTCCAGAATTTGCGGGGAGAAAACAGGACGAGATTGGCAGGAGATGGCGTCTCAATTGTGCAAATCATCCAAGTTCGATTGGGCGATTGAAGTCAGGGGGCGAATTGAATGCCATGGAGATCGGCTTCAACCAAGGTGGGGTGCAACTTTGCACTTCGCTTCGTGTTGATTAGCCAATCATGGGGTGATTGAAAGATGCATCCGGGTCGCGCAGTCTCTGTGCTTGTTGCCAGTCTGCCAGTCTGCCAGTCTGGTGCCATGTTTGCGGGTTATGTGTGGCTGGAAACTTGAAGGCGAAACAATGTGAGGACGACGAGACTCAGCTCCTGCTTGGCTATTCCGTGTTTTGTTTCATCCACTGCACTGGGCGGACGTCATCCACAAAAATCAAGGCAGGCACAAGAGAGCTGTTGTGCCGGGAACGGATCAACAAATCGGGATTTCCTTCCTGCAGGCTACTGCAAGAGCTCCCTCCACCTGCAGATTGTTGCATCACGAAGCACTGCGCCTCGCGGGAGGTAATAAACAACGGCCCAGACACAAAACCGCAACCAACAACACCAAGGATTGGGCACAGCGCCGGTGGGAATTTTTCAAAAATCGAGGCGACTCATGCATGCGTGACCGCGGTGGAGTTCAGAAGCTTGGAGAGCCCGGACTCAAGGACCGAACCGAGGAAAAGAGCAATCTCGACCCCAGCAAAGATCAGCCAAGAAACGCCATCGACGTCGGCTCGGTCGCCTGCCGCCGAAACAGAGAGCAGCTCGAGGACAAGCGTGGGCTCGGCCGAGCTGGGAAGTTGGAACGAGCTGTCAGGGGAACCTTGTCCATTCAAGGAATTCGACCCGCAACGGTGATACGGTTCTGCCAGTGAGCAACCACTAGGACCACACCCTCATCTCGCCAAGCTCCGATCGCATGGGGCGTTGCTACTTCGTCCCGCGCGTTCAGTTGTTCGATGACCCCAAAATATGCAAAAGAATGTCGTGTATTCGTACTTCGCAGTGTAAAAAAAAAAGAGAAGGGAAAATAGAGGCCGTTTGATGGCGGCAGCCAACGCAGAAACACAAGAGAGGGCGGCTCGAGGACCAGAGCCCACATTGCAGAACTTGCGGAAATGGATTCGATTTGGCAGCCCCTGAAAAGCTGAGACATGCGATTGAGGGAGGCACTGGGGTGGCGCCTCGGAGCGCGCAACCTGGAACTCTGCAACTGCCAACCTGCAGGGGGGTGTGTCCGGATCAAGGCGGGCCCACCAACAATAATTTAGCTCCAATTCCCCCTTCCTGGCAGGTTTCTGTATTTTCTGCCCCTTTGGTCGAGACGCTTCCTCTGAATTCACGCCTCTCTCCTTCCTGTTTTACATCGCCTTTTCTCTCCCCTCGTTAGCTTTTTGCTTCACTACACTCGTTACTCTCCCGTGGAAGAAGAGGTCCAGCCACGACCACTCGCCCGTTTATCCCCATTTTACCACTTCTCTAAATCTCACCTTTTCCGGTTCGCCCGCTTCGAATCACCCGACCGCGAGGAATTCTGACGACACAAACCATTCCATTGAAGAAGAGGTGCGTTGGCATTTGAACTCGAAGCTGCATTGTCAGTTTGGAGGCAAGAGAACAAAAAACCAGGACATTGTTATTCGCGCTTCCCTCCTTCCCTGAAACTCTCCACTGCACCCGATCCACGAGTTTCAACTTCCAAACTCTCACGAGTCGAGTCTCAGCGCAACCGGGCCCATCCTGCCTTCTTGATATCCGCTTTGGAGTAGCCGGCCGGGTCCAGCACACGCGCACCTGACGGCAGACGGAAGGCAGAGAGAGGTTCCCCGGATTCTCTCTAACACGGAGTTCCGGGACAAGCCGAGTCAGTCGCACTGTCTGCCTCACGGCTCTGAACGCGTCTGCCTCGCTGGCGGCAACCAAGGCGTGAACCGACCTCCCAACAACCTCTTCCATATTGTTCATTCTCGTACCCCGTCATATCACTTCACCAGCATCGCCATTTCCAGTCCCAAAGCAGCTGTCTGCATTGCGGTCTTTGCCATCATATTCTAACCGTGAGCAGCAACAGACTTGACCAAAATGTTTGTCAAGCAACTTCTTCCTGCCCTCGTGGCAATCGGCTCGGCCGCAGGTGAGACCCCATGGCATAAAAATGCACCCTCCTTAGCAGTCAGTTCACGCGCTGACTCGGTAATCTAGCCCAATCCGCGACCTGCACCGTGTCTACGACCACCATCAACGGCCAGGCCGAGGCCACCAAGCTCGCCGGCTGCGGTACTGTTAAGGGCACTGTCGTGCTCGGCTCCCAGGGCGGCGCGACGGTTGAGCTGTCGGGCCCGAAGGAGATCACTGGCAATCTTATTGTTGAGAACAACGGCATGCTGGAGACCTTCTCAAGCCCCAGCTTGCAGAAGATCGGCGGCACCTTCAGGCTCCAGAACGTCACTTTCCTCACCTCGCTCCAGTTTCCCAAGCTCACCGAGGCCCAATCGATTGAGTGGGGGTCGGTCACCCGTCTGGACAGCGTCACCCTGGGACCCCTGGACAAGGCCGACAACGTCCGGGTTAGCGATACCTTCCTGGACAACCTGGACGCCTTCTCGCTCACTACCGTCAAGAAGTTGACGCTCGACAACAACCGCCGCCTCTCGAAGTACACGTCCCAGTTGACGTCGCTCAGCGACAGGCTCGTCATCCAGGCCAATGGTCTTGAGCTCGAAGTCGACCTGTCCAGTCTGAAATGGATCAACGACATGGAGATTGCCAACGTGACCAAGTTCTCCGTCCCTGCTCTCCAGGTCGTCAACGGCTCCGCTCTCTTTGACTCCAACCGATTCCCGACCTTCAGCGCCCCTAATCTGACCCACACCGAGAAGGGCGACATCTCCTTCGTTGGCAACGGCTTCCTCAAGAACATGACGTTCCCGAAGTTGACCGACATTGCCGGCGGTCTGCTCATCGCCAACAACACTGGGCTGGACGAAGTCACTTTCTTCCCCAAGCTGAGGAAGGTCAGCGGCGCTGTCAAGCTCCGCGGCAACTTCACCACGTAAGATCCTCCGCTTGGAATATTACGAGCTTCAAGACTAATACCGAACCAATAGCGTCGACTTTCCGTCGCTTGATAACGTCAAGGGTGCCTTCGATGTTTCTAGCACTGCTAACATCAGGAAGTCGTGCGACAAGCTGGGGGAGAAGGCTCCCCGCAGCCAGGGCGGTGATGGCTCTATCGAGGGTGTCTTCACCTGCACGGCCGACAACGAGAATGCCAACGAGGACACCGACGGCTCGACCTCGAACTCCGGCAACGTCGACGGCACCGATGGTAGTGATGAGAACGGCGCCTCGGGCCCCGTCTTCAACGCTGCCCTCTTCGGTCTCGTTGCTGTCGCTGGCCTCGCCTCGGCTCTCTAGTGATGGATACCTTGTCAATTTGGGAACCTGGAGTTTACTTGGTCGGGCAATGCGAGTTCTCTGCTGCGGACACCAAACCACGGCCCCCTGTCTTTCCTTTGAATGAACTGTCGAGTTTTGTTTTGCTCCCGCTTCTTTTGGGCTCTCCGCATACCCCGTCACGCGCGCCGCGCAACACTACATACCGCACCGCTAGACTTAATATCTCGATAGAGACGCTGGATTTGTTGATTTGGCTTCCTCCCCGCCTACTTTTCTGTGATGTGGCTTCTCCCTCGCGTTGGTGTTTGGATGGGAAGGGAAAAGATGTTGCCGTGGGTGGACCGAGTCATCAGCAATCTATGGCGCCGAGTTGGGGTTTGGGGTCTTGCAAGGCAGCGGTCGTTGGCCAGGTTGAGCTTGGACAGCACGATTTTGGGATGTGGGGAGGTCCGATTTAGTGGCCGGACGGTAATCAGTCGATGAGTTTGTGCTTTGTAGTCGATTCGCTTTGTATGAAGTTTTGTTAGTACCTTGTAATACCGGGGTGGCCGTCCTTGGTGTTGAACTTCATCTTGATCAGTCATGGGTATACACGACCCTAGGTCTTGGAATTCTTATGGACGTAGTATACGCGAGCTATATGATACACGAAGTTGCTCATACGTTTAGTTTTGTTCCACGCCTCTCGGTGTTGTGTGTCCACTAAAACTTGTTTGTAGTAGTAATAGCACAGATCCTCGATTCTCGAATATCCAGAGAGGATGAAGTGCCAGTTAAGGGCCCATTAACTGTGCGTAGCTTCATTCTTTAGCAGGCGTTTTGGCAAGATATCTATCCATCGTACACCCCCTCCTCGAACTTTTCCTCGTCGTAAAACCTTGCCGCAATCGCATTCCCGTTGAATATCCTCCCCTGTAGCGCGTTCACAGCCTACATCACAACCACGTTAGTTGGTCAGCCGGTTCATCAGGGGGGTTGGTAAAGTTAAGAGCCAGCCAGTCGAAAAGAAGGAGGGAAAATGAACGATGGCAACCAAGGGCGAAAGACGACGACAGAAAAACAACGACGAAAGAAGAAGACGAGAGAGAAAAACTCACCTTTCAGCGCCGAAACCGCCTCCACGAACCGTATAAACACCCTCGCCCCCTCCACATCCACCACAATCCTCTCCACCCGCCCATACCGCTCTCCACACTCCTCCCCAATCTCCTGCCCCAACCCAGCCTCCACCTCGCCCTCCACATCCGCCATACCATCCAACATGCGATCCAACACCACCACAACCGACATCTTGCCCACCCCTCCGTCCTCCTCACCCTGGTTCCCCTTCACATTAGGCGCAATAATCCTCCCCCTCCCCCCGGCCGGACCCACAAACCCGCCGCCTTCGGCATCCGGCCGGCGCTTGCGCTTCTCGACCTGCACGCGCAGCGCCGTGGTGATGCCGGTCTGGGCGGCGCCCAGCCCGCTGCCTTTGGTCCAGCCGTACTTGGCCATGAGGCGCTGGGCGAAGCCCTTTTGCCCGGGGCGCGTGGTGCGTTCTTCTTCTGAGTGCTGGGTGGTGGTGGGTGGTTGTTGGGGTGGGAGCGGGATGGAGGTGTAGTCTACTTCGGGGTCGTAGTCGGTGTCGGCGGCGTCGATGTCCATGGCGGTGTCTGCGTCTGGGTTGGCTGGTTGGGAGTAGCGGACTGGGGCGCGGGAGATGGTGGCCGGGGTCTGCGTCTGCTGGGGGTGGTGGCGGTGGGGGTGCTGGTGATGCGGTTTCGGGGGGAGGGGGTGGTGGGTGGTGCCATGCCTGATAATGCTAAACCGCCTGGCGTACGCTATTCGTTCGCCCGGTGGCATCGTCCGCCACACGGGGAGGTGACATCGGTGGCGGGCGCAAAGGGTAAACGACGCGGGAGGCGCGAACTGATCTGTAATCCCGTTAACACCCATCCCCTAACCACACACCACAAAAACAGAGCAGAACAAAACAGAACCAAACTTACTCCCCAACCATCCCCTCCCACCTCACACCTCACTCCACTCCCCCTCACTCACACGCCCACCCCCACCCCCATGCCTTCCCCTCCTCCGATGCGCATACAACACGGCCTTCCACTCCCTGACCTCCCTCACCCTATCCTCACTCCTCAAATACTCCTCCACATTCGTCGGGCGCGCCGGGTCGTACAGCTCGTCCCAGTCGGTCTCGCGCCGCGCGGCGTCCTCGTTGTTGTTGTTGTTGCGGTTCTTCTTCTTCTTGCGCCGCCCGCCCCGCTGCCGCTTGTCGCCGCCGCCCGCGGGCCCGCCGTACCCGTACTCGTACTCGTCGTCTTCGGTGGCGGCCCAGTCGGCAAGGGTGCTCCGGTTGGGGGCGGGGGCGGAAGCGGGGGCTGTTGTGGGGAGTGTTGTTGTTGTTGTTGTGGTGGTGGTGGTGGTGGTGGAGGGGATGCCGGGAGGGGCTTTGGGGAAGGCGGGTTTGGGTTTGGCGGAGGGTTTGTTGATTTGCGGGCGGCGGATGGGTTGGAAGCGGAGGGCTGCGGGCGTCGTTAGCTGGGTATTCGTATCCCTCGGGAAAGTAGCAGTGCCTCCCAAAACATACCTGGGTCAATGGCCTTCTTGGCTGGCGCATGGTCCTGCTCGTTCTTGAAGAGCACCGGGTCGCGGGCGATGGAAGCTGAGCCGTCGGTGTCGAGCAGGTTTGCGTACAGCGACATGCCGCCGCGGCTGGGCGGTTGTGGGGGAGGCGCTGCCATGCTGTGACAGTTTGGTTATTTGGACGTGGAAATGGCGTGTTAGGACCGGGACACACGGCCTTGTCGTCGTTGTGTCGAAGATGCAAGGCTAAGCGCAGCCTTGTGCACAAGGCGAAGAAAGCAAGCGGCCTTCAGGGTTCTAATGCACTGTATTTAAGTGGGACCTCAACCCCATTACCGGCTCATTGGTGGGGCAGTCCATGGTAAGGGAGGTCGTTGTTGAGAACGGGAGGAAGACCCTTTTTCGAAATTCTCCAGGTAAGAAAAATATATGTCTTTGACATGAGCTCGCTCCTGGACTCCTGCTAAATAGCCATCATACAAGCATTCAAAACTCCGATTCCTTGCTTAGCCTTCCAAGATGCGACCCCTAAGTTCCCCAAATGCCCTTCTGCCGATCAACTTACAACCACCCCTTGCACCTCTAGTACTTCCTTTCTTTAGGCAGCTTCTTCGCTTCCAACACGTCCACATCCTTCTTGTCATAGTAATGCCCCCCAAACTCGGTCAACCACTTCGCCTCGATGGGGATGACAGATCTGACATACTCCCTCGACGTGACGACCAGCTCGTGGTAAATAATCACCTTGGGCGGCGGGTCCATCGCCTTGACCACACTGCTCGGGTGCACATAGACGGTCATGTTATTCTTGAGGGTGCGGTACCCATCACCGCCACGGTTCAGCCGCGCGGCATTGAGGAAAAAGGCCGAGGTCAGCGCGCGCAGCACGGGCTGCGGGTTCTGGACGCCGCCGCACGTGGAGGTGGCGCCCTCGAGCACGCGGTCGCACAGCTTCTCAAGCTGGTCGCGCACGTCGCGGGCGCGCGTCAGCGAGCGCTGCGTGAGGAAGTTCTCCTTGGCCCAGATCGGCGAGTAGTCGGCCTCGACCCACTGGTTGTAGACGTTGAGCAGCGTCAGGTGGTCGCCGCCGTCCTTGACCGTGAACCGCGCCCGCGCGCTGTCGGCGTGCACCTTCTTGTCCTTGGGCCGGAAGAAGAGGGTGGCTACCTCGCCGAGCATCGAGACGACGGTTAGCACTTCTTGAACACACTCCTCCTGGGTGGCGGCGATGAGGGCTTTCGCGAGCATGGGCTCCGCGGGGAACTCGCCCATCTGTCGGCCGACGCGGGTAAGGGCGCCGGCGCTGTTGAGGGCGCCGAGGGCGTAGAGCATGTTGAGGGATTTGATAAGGAGCTCAGTGGGCGGCGGGTCGAGGAAGTCAAACCCCAGGAGGTCGTCTATGCCGAGGGCTTTAAGTTGGAGGACTACAGCAGAGAGTGAGGTTCTTTGGATTTCGGGCGTCGGGGACTCGTCCATCTCGGAGAGGTAGGCAAATTTGGTGTAGAGACGGAAGCATTTGCCGGGCCGGACACGACCGGCTCGACCCATTCGCTGGTTTGCTGCCGCCCTGGAGCAGGGGACTACGGCCAGGGTTGACTGGCCTGTTGTGCCAACCGGGCTGAATGTGTTCTCCTTGGCGTAGCCGCAGTCGATAACATAGACGATGCCGTCGATTGTCAGTGATGTCTCGGCGATGTTGGTTGAGAAGACAACCTTTCTCGCTTTTGGTGGTGTCGGCTCAAAGATCTTGGCCTGCAGTTCCGAAGGCATGTTTGCGTAGATAGGCAGAGCTATGATCTCGGGTACTCGACTGCCAAGTTTTCGTTTGATATCCTCTACCCGCTCGCATGCTCGGTCAATCTCTTCTTGGCCGGTCAAGAAAACGAGGATCCCGCCCTCGGGTTGTGTTGCGTGGATCTGGAAGACGGTGACCAGACTCGCTTCTAGGTAGTTGCTCTCGGGCGCCGACGTATAGTAGGTTTCTACCGGATGTACACGGCCGGGGACATTGAAGATGGGAGCGTCGTCAAAGTATGCGCTGAACTTCTCGGCGTTGAGTGTCGCGGACGAAATGATCAGCTTCAGCTCTGGCCTGGCGCGTGTGAGATCCTTGATCAGTGCTAGCAAAATATCCGTGTGCACCGTTCTCTCGTGCGCTTCGTCGATCATGATGGCCGAGTAGCCCTCGAGCGTCGGCGATGTGACCATTTCCCTGAGGAGCATACCGTCCGTCATGTACTTGAGGACAGTCTTGTCACTGGTGCAGTCCTCAAACCGGATCGAGTAGCCGACTTCATGCCCAACCTTGACGCCAACCTCGTCGGCCACACGAGCAGCGACGCTCATGGCGGCGACTCGACGGGGCTGTGTGCAAGCAACCTTCATGCCGTCCTTGGTGAAGCCAGACTCGTGTAGATACTGTGGTATTTGCGTCGTCTTACCCGAACCTGTCTCACCGACAAGAATAAGGACCTGGTATTCCTTAATGGCGTCCAAAAATGCGTCACGGTACGCATAGACCGGCAGACTCTTCCGAACCTCCTGTATCGTCTTATGCGCCTTCTCCGCGGCGTCGATCTTGTCCTTCAGAGCCCTCTGCTCCTGCGTCAACCCATCACTCGGTTGAGCATACTTAGCTGCGTCTCGAACAAAGGTGATGGCGTCCTCGTCTAGCAAGAAGTCGTACTCTCCTTCGTCCTCACGCTCACGGGATTGTATCTGTGCCTTCGCTTTGACCGTCTGTTCGCGTTCCCACTCCTCGTACTCGGTGACGTGTTTCTCGTTGCCGTACATATCCTTCTCGACGTGGCGCTTGTAGAGGGTGTCCTCCTTCTTCTTGCTGTCGGCACCGTACTGATCCGGCAACCGGTAGCCATCCTGGTAGTCATCGATATGGGCGCGCTCCTCAGCTAAGCGTAGAATCTCGCGGTTCTTTGCGAACTCGGCCTTCTCCCGCTCGGACAGACGGACCCCTGACCTCAACTCTGCAGTTTCCTCTGCCACTTGTTTTCGCAACAGGGCGAGCCTCTCGGTTTCCCTCTTTGCGAGGTACTGCTGGCGCGACTTGAGCCGCAAGTCGGACATCTTGGAGTCGTCACGTTTTAATTCGCTCTGGCGTGTCTTTGAAGGGCCATCTCTGTCATTGCGCGGTGACCGGGAGCGGCGTCGGGGTGATGCGTCACCATCGTGTCTCCGACTCTTGTGTCGTCGTGGCGACCGATCGCGAGACCTCGACCTGTCGCGTTTGCGGTCCTTCCTGTCTTTTCTCTCTCTTCTGTCGTCTCTGGAGGAAGGCGCAGGCTCATCGTCCATCGGGACGAAGGCATAGCGTTTTGACGACATGGTGGCAGAGTATGGACGTAACTCAGCAGTTTGGTGTAGGTTGGCTTGGACCGCTCAAATGACGACGGCAACCGCATCCTGTCGCTGCAGCAAGCAGCAAGGTCCCAAATTCTTATCTTATCGTCAGTACTTGGCGCGCTTGGCTCTGCACGACGCACGCCCCACCAAACTCCAAACTCCACCTCGAATAGGTAGTGAATTAAAGCTTTGGACGACGGTTCAGCGAACCCCGACTTGCTTCCTCTCTCTGTTATTGTGCTGCACCATTTGGCAATTTGCCGATTACAGGAACTGCCATACCCTAGGGCTTATTGGGGATATGAATTTGAACGGTTTAATCCAAGGGAAACGACATCCCCTACCTGCCCTTTGGTTGCTCAGTGAGTACCCAGAGAGGGAAGGGTTTGCATAGCACAAAAAGGTACGACTCAGGTACGAACTAATGAGATGGAGATCTATTTGGCAGCTTCACCGCTAACATATAATTCGCATTTCCCCTTTCATTAGTTCCAGCTCGCCTCTGGCCGCATTCGGTTTCCCATTTTCATTCTCTCTCTTCGCCCCCATGAATTTCAAGATCTGCACGTTGAGTGCAACCTGATCGGTGTTAGTGTGTGGTATTTCTGGCTGTGAGACCCACTCGTCTCAGGTGCAAGCGCGGATTGTGTCATCCGAGTCCCGTCAATGAAGCCAACGGCACTCGGCCCATCTCCGACACACGCCCGGATCTCGGAGTCGCGAAGCTTATATGTAACTGTATCAGACTTACACGGCAATTGATTTGTTATTTTTGTGAGATAAACATTTACCTTCTTTTACGCGCTGCTTTCCGAGAAACCAACGAACTGCAATTGCCCGGATCTGGAATTCTGGGTAAGCGTTGTGAAACACCGCCTCGACTCTCATTGGACTCGTCCATCTCCCCAAGACACCATGGCTGCCGGCCTCACCCTACAAACAGCCATCAAGGGCACACCTGACTCCACGGTCGTGATCGTACCTGGGAGCCAAGCCTTGACCGTCACCTATAAGGATCTTGTCTCCGAGACAGCCTCGTTCCAACAGAAGCTGGCCGCCATTGGCATTGCCAAGGGAGCTCCCGTCTCCATTGCAACCGTCAACTCCTACGAATTCATCGTGTCTTTCCTCGCCGCATCATGGCAGCGCGCTATCGCCGCTCCTCTCAACCCAGCCTACAAGCAGGATGAGTTCGAGTTCTATATCGACGATGTCAAGTCGGCCATTGTTCTCGTTCCCAAGGGCGCCTATCAAAACGGCAGCCCAGCCGTGAAGGCCGCCCAGAAGTTCAACTCGGCCATCGCCGAGTGCTACTGGGACGCCGCCAAGAAGGAGGTTGCTCTCGACGTCAAGGAGCTCGGCCAGCTCAAGGGCAAGTCCAAGCAGCCCATCCTCAAGCCGGACCCCGAAGACATCGCCCTGGTCCTTCACACCAGCGGTACCACCTCCCGCCCCAAGGTCGTGCCCCTCTCCCACCGCAACCTCACCCGCACCATGCACAACATCCAACAAACCTACCAGCTCACCGCATCCGACCGCACCATGCTGGTCATGCCCCTCTTCCACGTCCACGGCCTCCTCTGCGGCCTCCTCGCGCCGCTCCTCTCGGGCGGATCCATGATCGTGCCCACCAAGTTCTCCGCATCCGACTTCTGGCGCGACTACACCACCCACGGCGCGAACTGGTACACGGCGGTCCCGACAATCCACCAGATCTTCTCAAGAGAACCCGTTCTCTCCTTCTCCCCTTCCCCACCATCCGGCTTCATCGCTCTGCTCCTCCCCTTTCTCCCCCACCGTCTTCCACGCCACTCGAAAAAACCTACAACGCTCCCCGTCCTCGAAGCCTACGCCATGACCGAAGCCGCCCAACCAAATGACCTCCAACCCCCTCCCCTCCGTCGGCCCCCGCAAGCCCGGCACCGTCGGCCTCGGCCAAGGCGTAGAAGTCGTCATCCTCGACGGGGCGGGCGCGGCCGTCCGCCCCGGCGCCGAGGGCGAGATCTGCATCCGCGGCGAGAATGTCACGGGCGGGTACCTCAACAACGCCGAGGCCAACCGCACCTCCTACACGGCCGAGGGCTACTTCCGCACGGGCGACCAGGGCCGCAAGGACCCCGACGGCTACCTCATCATCACCGGCCGCATCAAGGAGCTCATCAACAAGGGCGGCGAGAAGATCTCGCCCATTGAGCTGGATAATGTGCTTACCCGCCACCCGGCCGTTTCGGAGGCGGTGAGCTTTGCCATTCCGGATGAGATGTTCGGGCAGGAGATTGGCGTGGCGGTGGTGCTCAAGCCGGGGGTGAGGCTGGCCGAGGCGGAGTTGAAGGCGTGGGTGGCCGAGAAGCTGGCCAAGTTTAAGGTGCCCAAGAAGGTGAGCATATCCATCCGTCTTCGGTTTACTGGGTTTGTTGTTGTGTGTGAGACTGACGTGCTTCCGCAGGTTTACTTTACTGATGTCATGCCCAAGACGGCGACGGGCAAGATCCAGCGGCGGATCGTGGCCGAGACGATGCAGAAGCAGGAGGGGCGGGCGAAGTTGTAGAGCGCCCCTGGCTGGGTGGCCGGGTGGCGGTTGTATTCATGGACAATACAGTACATATAGAGTGTTTCTAGCGTGATGGCGTGTAGCCGACATTTCTAATATAAAAACGCACGAGTATTTGGATTTATCTTACTGCGGTCGTTGTTGTTGTCCCTCGTTGTACACAGGGAGTACCTTTTTGCACCGGCAGACGCACGATACGGTTGGACAACAACTGAGTCCAAACGCAAGGTGGACAAAACCCGATTACCTGGACTTGGGTGGTGCTAACGCATTCGGTTGGTAAGGCGAGGACGAGGCTTTCTCATGATGCGACGACATACGCATAATGATAGGACGCTTCACGGCCACCTCACCCTAAACACGTGGCTCAAGTGAGGCCGCACGCCAGTCAACCGTCACCATGATTCCGCTAGCAGACTCGGTAATTACCAACCATTAGGTGACTAAAATACACCATGATATTCCTATTCCCACGTACAAATAAAACAAACACAGCTAATTCAACAAACACCAAAAGAAAAGGGCGCCCGAGTTGAGGCGAGCAGAAAAAAAAAAGGCAGACATGATCCCTTCCAGTAAACAATCAGGGATGGCACAACCCCATTTCCCTCCCCCTGGCCCACCCGGCTCCCGGCCCATCACCTTCTTCTGGCCCTCCTCCCTACATGGTATTGATTTCATCCCGGCCCCGGCTCGCACGTCCGGCCAACCGGCCTGCATTAGCCACATCTAACCCATCCATCCATAACCACAAAGGAAACAACAACCACCATCCGTCCGATCTCCTCTTGTGCGTGCGTGCGTGCGTGCGTATGTGTGTCCATGTGTGTTGCGTTGTGTCAAAAATGAGTGAATGCGCTTGTACTCCTCTTTCTCCTCCTCCGCCACGGCCGCCCGGCCTATCCGGCCGGCATCAGCTTCCCCTAGAAGAAGATATACCCCAACAGAAAGCTCACGAGACAGAGGAACGCCACGATCCCGACGGGCACGCCCTCGGTGCCCCGCGACGATTGCCTTTCGGCCTGTGCGAGCTTCGGCACCCCCGCGCTGCTGCTGTCCTCTGACCTGTTCCCTGTCTTGCGCTGCCGGAGCCCGCTGGCCAGTTCGTTCTTGAGGGAGGCGGCGGTCGCTTCCGCCTTGGCTAGCCGCTCCTTGAGCTCCTCGTAGGTTTCGGTCGCGGCGGATCGGACGCTGCCTGCAACGGCGGAGGGGCCGGCGAAGGCTGTTGCCTGGGTGGCTTGTGTGGACTCGGGCTCGTGGGGGGGTTCGTCCTGCTCGGGGTAGGAAATCGCGGTGGTGTCCTCGAGGACGGTGGTGTCGTCCTGCGGGGAGGAATAGGCGGGCGGCGGTGCGGTGTCAGGGGTAGCGTCGAACTACACAAAGCGTTAGTTGTTGTTAGAAATCCGTGGTCCAGAAAAAGGAGACAAACCCCATTCGTAGCCGTCTGCCGAATAGGGGTAGCGACGGGCTGAGAAGGCCCTTCGTGTGGCGGAAGCCAGGCGACCCGGATCTTCTTTTCTTGAACGGCCGACTTCTCTACTCCATCCCACTGCACGCACAAACCGATTAGTCCAACATCTCGCGCATCAAGGGGTCCAGACCCACAATCTGTGTCACGTTTGTGAATTCCTTGTCGGCGGTGATCGTGACGGACTGAACGAGGAACTTGTCACGGCATTTGGCGTCGGACGGCGGCTCCTGCTTCATTGCCTGCAGGAGGACTACGAGGATCAGTACGAGTCTCCCAGCAGGCAGAGACGGGTTATATCTTGACTAACCGGATACCTCGACCTCATGCCCCGGCTCGATGCGGCCCGAGTTCGGCCGAACACAGTACCTAGATGACGAGTTAATCTTGGCCGCTATCAGGCATCCATCTCGCGGCCGGTATGCACATACTGCTTGGGAGCTGTCGTTTTGACCTAGGTTTGTAAGAAAACAAGAACCGAAGTATGCCGGGGGTCGGGTTCAAATTACCTTGAAGGCGACAGGCGAAGAGTTGGGGTTCTTAATTTTCAGGACCTGCGAAACCTCCACAGTGAAGGGCCCTGCGCCGGTCAGAGAATGGCAAACTCGGTGGAGACTCGAGACAACATACTGCGGAACCCAAGTTCCACGGGGTCGATTTCGACGGACATGGCGGCGGTCGCGGCTTTGTGAAATGCTCGAGTGTCGGCTGATGTTGTTGGCGCAGATCTGACGCAGGAACAGAGGTTACGGGTTTGCGCTAAAGTAGTGGCCGTGCGCGACGTTTGTGTTGGGAGAGGCTCGGGCAGGCCAAACGGGGGGATATTGTGGCGGATGGAATCGGACAGTTGGTCGCAGCGTGGATGCGTGTTACAACATTCCGGGCACGTTAACGGCAAAGCTGGCACTGCGCTGGCGAGGTTTCCAGACCCAGGGGGTCCGTGCTGCTGGTCGACCCCCAGCACATGTTGTGGGGCCGCCTTCGCTGCTGGCCACAGAACAATCACTCCAATCTTGATGACTAATTCAGAGAGGGTGAATGGGGGCCCGCTAGGGACACGGGTCCCGTGTGTAATTACATGAAATACCGCTGATGCTATTACAAAACAATACAAACAAACGCTGCCGCCTCCCCCACCACATGTATCACTAGCAACCAATAACGTACCAATCTCAATAATCACAACACATCCGAATACCGTAAAGGGCATGCCTTTGAGGTCCTCGTATGACCAATTCCATTGCACTTAGTGCATCGACTTGGAGCCCGGCGCGGTTGGGCTGCTTGAGCCTCCACTACCTCAAAGTGGCTCGGCTCCCGCTTGGTACTCGACTTTGGGAGTGAGCTTCGCGCTTGAATTGGCTCAGTACGCTGGCGAGGCTCAAGAAGTAACTGTGGGGCCCCATTGCGTCTTAGATGCCAGTGCGAATGGAAGTCGTTGAGCAGAAGAGGCTCGCCTTGACGAGTGCGTAGTACATGGCAGCATGGGAGCCCCTAGACTCGAGAAAAGGTGCCTGTACAAATCGGAGATGGAAGGCGGTTCTTCGTCAGAAGCAGCTTCCGTTGCTCCTCGACCTTCCTCAACGCCTCATGAGATACCTAGCCTCGGACAGCGCCGTATAAAGCTCCTGAAAGCTCGAGAGGAGTTCGAGTCTGTTGTGATGCTTGACGTGCTTGTAGCTCTGATAGTTGGTTGAGAACAGCAAGCCGAATTGCTTTCCAAGCTTCGAAGAGGTCGAGTGTCGACCTTCTCAAATAAGACTTGAGGAGGGCATGGATACCTTCCACTCGTGAGGTAGCCGTGTTGCCAAAATGACTTGACTGGTCGACCCACGCGCGGACAAGCTTCTCCTTGAAAGGGTTAAGCCATGTAGCGTTGATATACCCCACTTCATCGAGGTGCTCAGGGGTATATCTCTGCTGAAACTCGACTAGTCGCTTGGCATACTCATCTTCCGTCGGTGAGCCAATGATCGAGTGCCAGAACTCGTTGAATTCCTTCCACTCCTCAGCCTCTGGGAACTTGGGTTGACATCGAGCTAAGACTGCCTTGTTTGCATGCCAAAGGCAGAGGAGTATAGCGGCAGAAGGAAATAGATTTGAAGCCGCATTCATCGCCGCAAGACAGCGATCTGTTAAAATAACAGATGGGGGTGTAATGCCACATTGTTCGTACAGTGATCTCAACTGCTCAAGCGCCCATGCATAGTCTTCCTCTGCCTCGCCGCTTAGGAATGCAAATGCCACACAGAATGACCGCTGTGTCGCATCGACGCCAATCATATCAAGAAGAGGCATGCCGTGCTTGTTTGTCTTGTACGTGCAGTCGAGGAGGAGGAGTTCTGGGTAGGCTCGAAGGTAGGCCAAAGAGTCGGGATGTGCGAAAAGAACGGCTGTAACCCGTCCATCCGGTGCAAATTGTATCCGGCTCCAGAAGCCTTCCTTTTCAAGCTGGTCTGCTAGCGCGTGAATCGGACTCTGGCCCTTGCAAGCGTCTCGACGTACGTCAGAAACCCGGTTGTAGATGTCTTTCCGAGTTGCGAGAGAACCTCTTTGCTGAACAAGAGACTGAATATCTTTCGAGGCAACTCTATTGTCCGAAAGGGACGCAATCTGACTTTTCTCGAGAGAGGACAGCTGCCGATGAACTGGGTGGGCGGACGGATGTTGGCTCGGCTCGTGGTTGTGCACAGAGAAGCGTTGATCAGGGCGATGTCTTAGAGTCCAGGTGCCGTTATGAGACTCCTTTGCAAGCACAGAAAAGGGACAATTGGTCCCTCGAGTAGCTGTCTTCCTTTTGCGCTCTCCTGGTGGAGGTGGTCGGCAGGCTCGATCGCATGCAAACGTGACCGTTGCTTTCCCACTCTTTTCTCTAGCTGACCTTTTGATCGTAAAGGCGTAGCCTCGAGTAATAGCCCATTCGTTAATTGACGTATACAGGGCCTCTCGGGAGTTGTATTCGCGTTCGGGGGGGAGGCAGTTGTCCGGAAAGGAATTGGCCATCGAGCTGGTAAGTCGTATTATTGTGGTTGCTGGGTGATGCAGGTGGCAAGCAGGAGGCAACGCTCGCGTACAAATCTTTGTAATAACATCGGGGTTTTCATGTAATTACACACGGGACCCGTGTCCCTAGCGGGCCCCAGGGTGAATGAGGTCCTTATACAGGACCGATGTAGGGGACTGTGATGACGTCTGGCTGGCTGCCTACCAGTCACTCATCTAAGTGCCTAATGTTTTGTATGCAAGTCTGTAAAGGTACCTAGGTACACAGGCTGAGGCACCGGGTGTACACAATAGGATATGGGCTCATTCAGTTTGAGAAAACAGAAGGGATGTGGCCTCAAACTCGGGCATGTGACAAGAAAACAACCTAACCATCAAAAGACTGTCGTAAAGGCGTGTACGGCATCTATCCATTTGAGATTCGGTTCAAAGAGATATACGGGTAGTTCGCCCGAAGGAGCCTAAACCATTTCACCTGACCCGGTTATTCATCGGAGTGCGGCCAATTTTCGCCACTGTTCTCTTCTGGAAGAGCCTCAAGCTTGCCAAGCTCGAGCCAACCTAAACATCCATCATCTTTCGCAATTCCGACACCTCAACAACGACACCTCAACTTACAAACCTAACTACACTTTTTCATCAATCATATATCTTAACCATCAATCTCATTTAAACTCGACAATCGACAAAATGACTACCTCAGATCTTAACATGCTGCTCGAGATGGGCTTTGAGCAGGCGCGCGCTGAGCTTGCAGTAAAAAAGACTGGTGGTCGTCAGTGCCCCGCCACACGCTTTCCAGGCGATTTTCATCGATACTGACATCTTTACAGTGCAGGAAGCATTAAATTGGCTCGAAGACAACCAAGGCAAGCCTCTTGATGAGCTTCAAGCTAACCAAACAACCGCGGATGCTACCGGAGCCGACGAGGAGGGGGCTGCATCCATTCCATCAGGCGAGACCGCCTCCTCGCTCGTCTGCAATGAGTGTGGCAAAAAATTCCGAAACCACGCAGAGGCTTCCTTCCACGCCTCCAAGACGTGCGCCATCCATCCGCTTCGCTCACCCTACCTACTTACACTGACATGTGTTACAGGGATCATACGGATTTCTCCGAATCAACCGACGAGATCGCGCCGCTGACCGAGGAGGAAAAGAAGGCGAAGCTGGAGAATCTTCGCAAGAAGCTCATGGAGAAGCGGGCGAACCAGTCAATTGTTGATAAGGAAGAGGCCAAGCGGAACGAGGTACGGTGGTCAACACTAATTTTCCAACCAACAGTTGCTAACCTTGCCCCTAGCAAATTCGCCAGAAGGCCACCAAGGAGTCTCAGGACGTGAAAGAGGAGCTTCAGCGCAAGGAGCAGATCAAGGAGGCAGCTAAGAAACGCCAGGAGAAGGCCGACGACCTTGAAGCGAAGAAGCGGATCAAGGCCCGGATCGAGGCTGACAAGCTCGAGCGCAAGCGCCGCGAAGAAGACGCTAAGGCGTTGCGTAGCGGCAACCCCTTGCCGCAGGCTACACCAGCCGCCGTGGTGGCTGCTACGGCTTCGGTATCGCGATCGTCCGCTGCTACCGCCCGGTTGAGGCTCCAGACCAACAAAGGGAACCTCATCAAGTCGTATCCTAGCGAGACCACGTTGTTTGAGGTGGCCCAGCAGATCGAGGAGGAAGTAGGGCACCCGGTTAGCAGCTTTTCGACAACGTTTCCGATAAAGAAGTTCGATGTTGGTGTTGACTTTGGGCAAACGCTGGCGGAGGCCGGTCTTGTACCGAGTGCCGTGGTGGTGGTGAAATAGACCTGAGGGGCTCGGGATCTAGACGGGGGCTGGTTTGTGCGCAGAATTTTTGGCTTGTTTCTTTCCTATCATTTTACTTCTTTCCTATTTCTTCTTTTTTCCTATCCTCTTCCTCTTTCCCATCATCTCAAGCGTATTACTCGGCAACGCTTTGACGTGCCTTTCTGGAGTTTGGGCATCTCGGTAAAAGGCGGCGCTGGAGGGTCTGCATGGAACATTTCTGGTGGGCCCTACGCCCTACCAAGATTAGTACCACGAATCAACGCATTCAACCCTATATACGTGAGGTGGTCTTGTATTGTGAAGGGCGCCGGGAAACATGGGAATAAATTCCCCTAACGGTGGGCGACCATTCAACGTGGTGGAACACGGCTGACGTCTGTCACTTGATCCCGAACCGTCACTAACCCCGCATCCCCCCCCCCCCCAATCCCGAACTTACTAAGGTTACAGGGGTATTCGAACCCCATCGACAGCGATCTCGCACCTCTCGTCCTGTCCATGACCCGCCGGTTGCCGCTCACTAATCGGGCATTCTAAATAAGCCGGCTGCGGGCATAAGACTCGTCAATATCTCTCGCGGCTCTGCATGCCAATGGCCTCTCACTTGCGAAACGGCTCTGCATCCGAGCCTTCTTCACTCCGTCACCCACCCGCACCTTGACCCCCCTTTCTAGAAAGTTTACAGTGACTCCGTTCCACCTCGCACAGCAACGCAACACCATGGCTACGGAAGCACCCAAGAAGGTCGAATGGCTCGTCGTCATCCCCGACTTCCCCGGCGCTCAGGCGAAGAGGTTGGAGGTGCGCCCGTAAGTGAAGAAAAAGAAAAAGGATAAAATAAATAAACCACACCAAACCACACACCGCCACCACCACCAACCGCCATTTACTACCCCCGATTTTGCTAACCTCTGTCCGCTTCCACCACAAAGACAACACTTCGCCGGCCTCGGCCCCGCCAAGGAATCCGGGCTGTACCAGATGGGAGGTTCGTAACGTCTTCCTCTTCTACACTTCCCATCCCACCACCCATGCCTCCCATATCTGGGTCATAACCCCCATATGATATAACACCACACCACGAACCCCCCCCTCCAAAAATACCAAATCAAAATCTCACCAAACAACCAGGCGCCGTCCTCAACGAACCCCCCACCTCAGACGACCCCACCACCTTCTCCTTCGCCGGCAGCACCATCGTCATCCTGGCGTCGAGCCGTGAGGAGATCAGGGAGGTGCTGCGCAAGGACGTGTACGCCAGCTCGGGGGTTTGGGATGTCGAGAATGTGAGTTGAGTCACCACCCATGCCCCTCTTTTTTGTATACATACTTTGGAGGAGAGAAGGGGGGGGGGGTTTATATGTTGTGGTGGTTGGTAACTGACGTCGGTGGTGCTGTGTAGGCTCAGATGTGGCCTCTTCTCTGTGCCTTCCGCAACCAAAAGTAGGCTGTTATCTGGGGATGCGGTTTTGTGAGAAGGAATGTTTTGCAATGCGATGCCGTGGCGATGATTCATCATATTAGCATGGTGCCGCGCATGAGCTAGTGATGGCATGACGAAGCGGTACTCCTAATTACTGAACCAAAATGAACATAACTTCCCAAACCAAGGTCTCGCTACCAAAGCGTTGCCGCCTCCGAAACCATCCATGATGCCCGCTCAAAACGCCGTATCATAGGTAACCTAAACAAGGAACAACCATACTCATACAAGAGCCCTAGGGGCCTATGTGGAGGCTTGTGCGGCGGTCGACTTCTCTCCGCTTTCTTCTAGCTCCTCGGCGGCAACCCGTAATTCGTAGTTGAGATCGAAACAGTCCGCAAGAAGTTCGCTAACGCTGCCTTGGCCTTCAGGGATGTCGTTATTAACCATGAACTTTCCGTCCACCCTCATGTTGTCCATCGAGTTCAACTAGTTGGGGCCGTCAGCCAGCCGAGTGAGGACAATGGGGAGATGGAGGGGACGTACCTTCATGCTGTAAGGGTACAACTCCCTGACGGAGCTCACACCCCCGTTATTCTTGACCTCGATCAAGCATCGCTTCAACGTTTGCAGCTGGTTAAAGACGGGCAGCAGTGCCTCCGACACTGGCTCAGACGAGTTCATGAGGTGGTAGATGTAACCGTAGCTGCGTCGGATGAGATAGAGAAGCGTGCGCTGAACATAAAGCTCGGCCGGCCGACCTTCTTGGTCCAGCCAGTTGCCGTCAACACGCGCTTCGTCGATTTTGTCGAGCTGCCGCTGGAAGTCGTACAGGTCCGTCTCGCGCAATGACCAAGCCTGTGTGAGGGAGATCTTATCTAGATCATTGCGGATGTTGATGAGGATGTCGTACTTGTCCTTGAAGCCTTCCGGAATCACCCCTTTCCTAGACTGAGGGTTAATGGCGTGGCCAAGTAAGGTTGGGCGTGGGAGTGTATGTACCTCTCGAGGACAATGTCCGACCACTGTAAACACCGGCCAACGAGTACTGACACCACCTCGCTGCCCTTGAGCTCTTTCCCCTCGTCATCCACAAACTTGCCGTCCACCATCGACTCATTAATTTCTTGCAGCTTTGACTTTAGCTTTTGCACTTCAGTCGTAGAGAACTGTCGTTGTGTCAGCGCCAATTTCCTCTTAAGGTTGCCTTGGCTCTTACTTTGGACTTCGTGTTGGCAAGAGACATCGACCGCATGACCGAGATGAGTTGCTCGTAAATAGCCTGTAGTGGTTCCCCCAACTGGTCCAGCTGCATTTGCAAATTGGCCAGCATGGACTTGCACAGTGCCTTCCTGTGTCCTAGTAGCTCGATGAGATAAGGGGAGTGTGTCGAGTCCCTCTTCTCTAGGATACTCTCGATCCGGCCAAGTGTGTTGGATATGCTGGTGAGATCTTTGGAGGAAAAGAGCCTCGCCTCCGTCAGGTGATCGAGCAACCGTTTGATGGTGGAGGTGAGCGCGTACGCCGCCGGCACTTCGCTCGTTCGTCCGATCGTCATGAAGAATAGCGAGATGTGCTGGAGACAGCTCTCGAGGACCTTATCCACTGCGATGAGGGTTAGTTGATGGTGGCCCGCACGCACTACCTGGTTTGGCATACATCGATTTTCCCCCTTGTGTTCCCCCTTTCGGATATCGTTTACTTGTCTAACCTGCTCCACAAACTGGTCTTGCAATTCCATGACATCCTGGGTCCTGATGTAGTTGGTACGGTCCCTCTTGAGAAGAAGCAGCTTGTCTTGGATGACTGTGAGCTTGTCGAGAATCTCCCGCTCCCGCTCATCCTTAGGCATCGGGACTGCTGGGGTTTCCATGATGGTGTCGGGATGCTCTCGTCAAGGAATAGGAAACGGCCGTGGAAGAAAGTGAAAGCAATCGTTTGTACTCTTGAAGAAGGGGACTTGCTTTAATAATCTTGGATCGGGAGGGTCGGAATGTTGTCCGCGTGACTGATCAGAGGGTCGATTTACTCCAGACCACGCTTGCGCCACTTCGAGCTCGTGGGCAAAAACAGGTGGTTGAGATATTTTCAAAGATGAATTTGCACTTCTGCAACTTCGACGAGAAGTCGATCTTCTTATGGGGACAACAGAGCTCTAATTTGCCGGTTGGCACGGGGTTCAGAAACGCAGGCACGCAGGGTGCAACTTCTCAGCGTTCTCATTCACCTTGTTCGCGACGTCAGTGGTGGGAAGGTGGGGTGTCGATACAGGGCCCCTGTCATCCTTGGTCTTTGGGGAAGGTCTTTCTCCACACTACGGCTTGGGTTTGAGAAGGAGGCGGGAAAGAGGAGGAAAAAAAAGAAGGGAGAAGCTTAATGCGGTAAAAGGTTACCAAAGGTAAAAGATGTCCAACTAATCCTCCTATGCCTGCTTTCCTAAGGTAACAGGCCTCGAACACAAAGATAAAATCAAGTTATCTGTTCGATGTCCAGCGAGCTTGCACTTGTACACAGTACGAAGGTGGGCCTCTTTGGTTAGCGTGGTTTACCTGGGGGGTCCAGCGGGTCCAGCCAATTGTTGGAGATCCTGTCCAATGAACAACGTCAATGCTTTCAGCTGACTGACAGCTGCCAGATTCACTGTTCAGCCGGCAGCCGTAGGGCCACGCTATTCTGTTTTCGTATCGCCCACAACTAATTATTTTCCCTCCCGCGAATTTCAAGCTCGGTCTCTACATCCCACGTCAACAAGCCCTTCGAGTCACAGCACTTTGCGCCTCGACAATTACAGTCACCATGTCTACCGCTGAGCTGGCCACTTCGTACGCGGCGCTGATCCTCGCCGACGACGGCGTCGAGATCACCGTAAGAGAACCGCCCCAAGGCCTCGTGCGAAAATGCGCGGGCGCCGAAATTTCGATACATTTGCGCGAGGCTAACTGTCAATCCCAGTCCGACAAGATCCAGACCCTCATCAAGGCTGCTAACGTCGCCGATGTTGAGCCTATCTGGGCTTCATTATTCGCCAAGGTACGAAACACCGAAACTGCACACGAGTTTACGATCCGACCACGGGAATCGAGACGAACAGGTTGACTGACTGGGACGTTTTGCATTGCAGGCTCTTGAGGGCAAGGATGTGAAGGACCTTCTCTCTTCTGTCGGCTCGGGTGGCGGCGCCGCTGCCCCCGCCGCTGGCGGCGCTGCTGCCGCTGCTGGCGGTGCTGCTGAGGAGGTCAAGGAGGAGGCCAAGGAGGAGGGTAAGTTCTTCCCTCGCGAGCGCTGCCCGCAAGGCCTCGGATGTTTTTGGGTTACTGACAACCGCTGTAGAGAAGGAGGAGTCGGACGACGACATGGGATTCGGTCTTTTCGACTAAGCTGGCTTCGACTCGGGCAGGGCGTGGATTTGACTCGCCTGATTCGCTTTGTTCTTCCAAAACTTGCATGGGTTTGCGGCGGTATTTCGCACACACGACCACAGGGATGGAGGCTATGATATCGGGAGTCTGGGTTCATCGGCGTAGCTTTACATGGAATCTGAAGATGCGCTTTTGAGCAACTGTTACCGGGTTTGGCTGGTGCGAGCCGACTGGTCCCGTGGGATCGGTGACGACAGCCACATCAGGGGCAAACCTTCGGGGTCGCCGTTCCGGCAGGTTTGGATGGACTTGTTCTTCGGAATATGCCATACCGTAATGGAAAGTCCAGATTCGAGTATTGATGCGGTCAACCTTGCTTGTGGTCCTTCTCGCCCGTTCTCGGATAACCACGGCTGATTTGCACCAACGCCAAATGTAGGCTCGTATGTGATGGTCCGTTGATACACAACACAATATCAGATGTACTCTTGCAAGCGCTACGTCACGATTCTTCCGGTGACTACAGCATGGGATTGGGGATACGTTCACGGCCTTTGGGGCTGCGGTTCAGCCGGGCATACCTACGTGCACAGCAAGGAAGAGGCCTCATCGTATTCCTCGGCTGCCACGCAAGGTTACCCCCGCCGCCCTCTTCTCAAGGCCCTATGCCTGTGCGTTGAAAGCCTCAAATTACGCTTTTAAGCTCGGAAACACCGAATCCCAGAACCCGCACCGCCGAGAAGCTTCCCGGTGGCAGCTCATTGCGGGGCTTCAGGGTTGGGGTTTGTGAGCCGAATCGTCTTGTGCACGGTTGCGATGACGAAATGGTTTTCCGGGTGGGTTGATTTGTGGACTAAGCCATGCATCCTCGTCATTTCTGGGCTCTTCCAAAGCTCGAAACGGCTGTGTGCCTTTTTCCCTCGGTGGGTTGTCTCTGACCAATGTTCCGGTATATTGCAAGTCTTTTGTGCATCTCTTCAAGAGTGAGTCTCCGGGGTGCCTTGCGAGCCTGGTAAGGATTGCGGGGGAGGGGTAGAGTCGATCAGCTGCAAAAGGCGGCTGGAATGAGGAGTTTTACACTTCAGGGATTCCTTTTAGGGTTTTAAGCAGTGTTCCACGGTGCCAGCTCGTCAAATACAAAGTACTATAAAGTCTGTCGCCTGGAACCTAGCTTGAAAACTGCCTGCTCAAGTCATACGAGCTGTCGTCGGCTGTCACAATTGAAGCCTGCCCGGGCGGTCCGGATCCCGACATCGCCTGCAAGATCTCGCCACAGGCTTCGGCACGCCAACTGCAAAGCAACGAGAAGCAGTCAGGTCACAAGGCTGCGCCTCGTACCTCGCGAGTCTCGGTGTTCCGTGCCGGTTCACGCCTGTCGGGCACCAGTGTGGAGCTACCGGCCGCATCGGAGTCGACCCCGTGGACCACACAGTTCCAGCAAGCCTCGTGCCCTTGCCTTCTGCCACCGTGTTCTCGAAGTTTTGAGTGTCCCAGGCTTCGGATGAACCACGAGGTAATTGGTTTGGGCCCCAGTGGGTGCAACAGGTGGGTCATTCGGCAAGACGTGGGTGGGCACACAAGACCTCTTCCTGTCTTCCAACAGAGTGTGGCTGCATGCTCGCTCGCTAGCTACCTCGAGATATGCAAGGAGCCGGCCGCTGTTGTCTTCGACCTCGTCGCTGTCGGCTTGGGGGCTGTTGGCCTTTTCTGTGTGAGGCGGCTCCCAACCACTGTCTCGAAAATTGTTCCAGCTTTGCGGCGTAGTTGAGGGTGGCACAACACATCTAGAAACAGCGCCCGGAATCTGTTGGGGATCACATCTCTCACCCTAGCAAGTCGGCCACCTCTGGAGGCCCCCTTTTCTTTACCAGTACATCTCAGGGGGCAAAAATGTTTCGTTTCCATTCTATTCGGTCTCTCTACTCTAGGCCAGAAGCCAGCCGCCTCAATTTAGAGGATCTGGCCGTGGTCCGGGCCGCCCCTGGCCAACAGACCTTTGGCGATGTAGCGAAACCCAGAATGAGGCATCCTGTGTGAAGTCGGCAACCGCGCCGCAGTTGGTTCCCGAGTCACTGCAGTTTTTCTGTATGTTCCATGCTGCGAGGAATAACGTAATGCAGCTACTTCCAGTTGAGTTTGCGCATGCGGGCCAAGGTCTGTCAGCACCTGCACCAGGTGCCCTTGCGCCCAAGGCAGGCGCATCTCACCCTCCCGCCCCAGCCATCCAAGCATCCCATGCCCCCCTCCCCTTCCCACCTTCCTTCGGTCCACAGCCCCCCCTCTCTTATAGCACCTTCCCCTGCTCGCAGCCTTCTCTTCCCACCCCGCCTTGCTTGGAATCTTTGCAACTTCCACGCTTCTTTTTTGCGATTTTGTGATTTCATTTCGTGCGATACCCGACCGCGCAGTTATCTAACTACACCATTTGTTTGTTTTTCTTGGCTTACAGCTTGATTATTACTTCCGACATTAACTGGTTGGGAAACCCCACCTCTCACAACCCTCTAACGGGTGTGACGACACTTACCAACCGCCATGCCTGAGGTGTACCGCGAGTCCCGCTACATGCGGGAGCGGGATACGTCTCCCTCTGACGATGAGGGTTACAAGAGGACGACAGTGCGCCGGTACAAGGTGACGCCCGATCGCGTCGAGCGTGTCGAGCGCGAGGTCGACGTCGTCGAGGAGGAGCGCCGCAGTCGCTATGCCCCCATTCGCCGCTCTAGCCGGGACGATGTCATTGAGGTGGACCGTCGCGTCGATCGCCTGTACATTCCCGAGAAGCCGCGGTCCGTCTACGACCCTTCTCCCCACAGCGCAACCTACGTTGAGCGCCAGGTCATTGAGCGTGAGCGCGAGCGGGAACCCAGAGAAGACCATTACTCGAGGGTCGACCGAGTCGAGTACCGTGGGGATGGGCCCCGGAGCGCCGTTGTGGAGCGCGAGAGAGTTATCGAACGCGAGGAGCGGGACCGCGACGATGACTACCGCCGCAGCGGACGGGCCGTGTACGAGTCCAAGGAAGTCGAACGAGTTGATCGCCACGACGTTCACTCGCCAAGAGAATGGGAGCGTCGCTCATACTGGGACGATGAGAACCAGACCGAGGTGCGCGTCGAAAAGAGAGTCGAGCACCGGGATGGCGGCGAGGTCCGTGTAGAACGCCGCGTTGAAGAGCGCCGCGACGACGGCTATGTCGCCGGAGGAGCCGATGTTGAGCGCTGGCGCAAGGAGACCGAATACTACGAGCCTGCGCAGCCCGCCCCTGCTCCTATCGTTATCCGGCAGCGCGCCCCGGAGCAGAAGATCATCCTTCAAGAGGCCCCGCCGGCGACGGTCGTCATTCGGGACCAGGCTCCAGACAACCGGGAGATCGCTCTTACCCGCCAGGGATCCCGCGATGGCGAGTATTATTATCATCGCGAGTCCCGTGAAGTTGGCCCTTACCGAGGGGAGCGTCGCGAGGAGGAGTACGCGATGGCGCGTTATGACGACGACCGGCACCGGCACCACCATCACCACCACCACCACCGTCGCCACCATCGCGAAGGCTACAGCGACGCTGAATCCGACGACGGTTACTACGTGAAGCGCACCGTCACCCGGCGGGAACGTAGCGCATCAAGCAGCCCGCACCGTAAGCGCCATATCGCTGAAGGGGCCCTCGCCGGGGCCGGCATCTCGGCTATCCTCGCATCTAGACGCGACTCACATGGTGAGTATAAGCAAAACCGCGGTCGCAAGGTTCTTGCCGGTGCAGCTATCGGCGCCATTGGTACAGAGGTCGCGAGGCGCGCACATAGTGCTTACCAAGAGCGTCACGGCGATGAGAACGAGAGAGAGCGCTCCCGCTCTCGCTCGCGTCCCCCTCATTCCCGACTCAAAACCGGCCTTGGGATCGCTGCTGTTGCTCTCGCCGCCGCTGGTGCAGCCAAATACTACCAGAGCAACAAGGTTGAGAAGGAGGAGATGAACCGTGGCCGGGCCCTTCACCGCGATAGTGACACAGACCGGTCTCCCAGCCGGAAGCGGTCCAAGAGCCGAGCCTCTTCAGTGGCCAAGGCCGGGCTGGGCACGGCCGCTGTTGCCGGGCTGGTCCAGCACTACCGCCATAAGAGCAAGTCGCGAGATGGCAAATCCAGAGATGGCAAGAGCCGCTCTCGATCCCGCCTCCGCACTGGTGCCGAGATCCTGGCCGCCGGTCTTGCTGGCGCCGGCGCCAAGAAGATGTATGACCGCCATAAGGATAAGAAGGAGGAAGAACTTGAGCGGGATCGAGAACGCGAGCGGGAGCTCAGTGATGATGAGTATTACGACCGCGACGCGCGCGACTACCACCGCCGTAGCAGGAGCAGAAGTTTAACTCGGTCCGGACCCACGTACCCCGACGGTGACTCTTCCGTAGCTGATCCTGAGCTAGGCATGGTTGAGTACGGGGCTCACCCCCTGTATGCGGACCCCCCGCAACGAAACGAGAGGGGGCCAGCGGCAGAGGGGTATGAGTCTGCGGCAGAGGAGAGGAGCCGCAGGCGGAGGAGGAGACATAGCGGGACATCGAGAGGCGACGATTATTCTGCGGATAGCGAGGCGGAGACAGACCGTGACAAAAAAGCAGACAAGAAGCGCAGCGGGAGTAGGCTGCGCGATCTTGCCGCCGGCGCTGCGGCAGCTGGCGCAGCAGCCATTGGTATTAAAAAGTATAACGACAAAAAAGACAAAGGGAAGGAGAAGGAGAAGGATGAGAGGGACCGTGATAGAGAAAGAGATAGGGAGAGGGAGAGGGAGAGGGAGAGGGATAGGGAGAGAGATAGGGAGAGAGACAGGGAAAGGGAGAGAGACAGGGAGAGAAATAGAGAGAGGGAGAGGGATAGGGGGGTTGGAAAGGGACCGGCGACGTGAGTGATATGACCTGAGAACATCGCCGATCGGCTTGCTGACAACCACTAGGCTACGGTGACGATGCTCCGCCAGACGGCTATGACAATTATGGCCGCCGGGCCCCTTCCCCCCCTCATGCTTCCGGTGGTTACTACAACCCCCCACCAGTGGTTCCTCCAAACGCCGCGGCTCCAGCCAACGGCTTCACACAACACCCCAATGTCGCCAGCACCAACCTCCACCAACAATACACACCGTATCCCCCGGACTCGGCATACACCCCCTACACCCCACCCATGCCGGGTGCGCCGCCGAATTCGGCTGCACCATACACGCCTTACACCCCGCCCATGCCGGGTCCGGCCCCGGATTCGAATGCACAATACACCGCGTACACCCCGCCCATGGCAGGACCGCCACCAAACCCGGCTGCGGCACCGGGCCCTGTGCCTCCGCCGATGCCTCCAGCAACAAACCACCCCACGGGTCCTGAAGATGTGAGTGAAGCTTTTCGTGCTGGTCGTTCCACTCTAGAGCCAGAAGCTGCCGCTCGCTCCGTTGATGGTGACAAGAAGGGTGCGTCCTCTCGCGCTTGAGAGACCAGACCCCCACATCGCAGTCCACCGGGAGCTTGGACTGACCGTTCATGTGTTTGTAGATCGTGTAATATCGTCGGACGACTCTCCCCCTGCAGACACGACAACGTCGGAGGTGGAGCCCCCAGACACCCCTCGCACAGCCAAGTCGGTCATCTTCATCCCGTTGTCTCCGAAATCATCTGCCACGCTCCGCCGTCACCACGAGAGCCAAGCAGCCAAGTCTGAGACGGAAGACATGGCCAGCGATAGCGATGACGACCGAAAACGCGGCAAGAAGCCAGCTGACGGCGAACCTGACAAAACACGCCGCCGCCGCAACTCAGATACATCTTCGGACCGTCCATCTGCCTCTAGCCGCCGGTCGCGTGACAAGGAAGCTACCTCGGAGACGGACGACGAAGATGCGGTTGAGATGCTACCTGATCGCTTTGACGCGCAAGGCCGCCCGCTCGACGGATCCGGTTCTTCTCGCGGCGGCGGTTCGGGCTGGCACAGCCGGCGCGGGAACTTTGAGTACCGGAGTCCGCGCGGCGCCAACGGCACCAACATGCGTGGGGAGTGGGGTGTTGCGGGGGCCGACGCTGAGACGGTGGAGCGTCTTGTGCGGGACGTTACCGGGGTGTTGGAGGGCAGGGGAAGTTGGATGGGGCTGATTGGCGGGATCCTGAGTGGGAGCTTGTTGAAGGGGCCAGGTGACGGTGATGGGGAGGACGGTAGTGATAAGGGCCGGGGGAAATCACTCGATCGAAGTCAAGATCGTGATCGTTCTCGTGATCGCGATAGAAGCCGGGACGATAGGGATGAGGACAGGCGGAGGCGAAGGAGGGACGATGATAGAGACGAGGATAGACGGAGGCGTAGGAGGGATGATGACAACGGGGAGAGCAGTAGTCGTAGGCCGCGGGAGGATGTCGAGAGGGGTGAGAGTAGTAGTCGGAGACGACGAGAGGATGAGAGGGGCGAGAGCAGTAGACATGCAGAGGATAGGCGGACTCGTGGGCGGGAGAGGGACGATTACGACGACGACGATGATGAACACTATTATGAGGATAGGAAACGGAGGAGTCGTGGGAGGGAGGATCGGTACGAGAGGGGTGTGGGGAGGTCACAGACTTGGGGATGAGGTTGACTGACGGCTGATGACTCATGATTGCTCTGATTTCTGTTTTTCTTTTTGCATTTTCTATTTTCTTTTCTTGATGTTACCTACGCTAGATATGATGTTTTGGATGTTTTCGGTTACAGATGCGCTGAGCTAATATCTCCCTTTGAAGATACGAATGTCATGATTTATGCCTGTTCCATCTTTGATGCTCTCGCTGCCAGCGTGATATCAGTATACACATTGTTCTATACCAAACTCGACATCAGTGTGCAACTATCGTGGTATATATCCTTAACGTACATAACATAACCGACCGCTCTATAACTCGTCGTGCTCATGGTCATGCATAACCGGCTTATCAGGCCTCCCGCTGTCCTTGTGCAAATCGATGCCATTCTTCGCCCGCCACTTCTCAAACACGGCCCACAGATCCTTCTCCATCCCACTATCCATCTGATCCGGCAACACGACGGTATACTCGACGTAGAGATTCCCGAACTCGGTCTTGTGGTACACGCTGTCGCCGTCCTCGTGCCACTTGGGCATGCCCTCTCCAGGCACCGTCTCGACGTGGTTCGGCTGCACCACCACGCCGCGCTCCCGCCCCAGCCGCACGACGTGCCCATCCAGGTGCGTGACGTTCCGCGTCCACCCACCCATCAGCGCCTCGCGCAGCGACAGCACCTCCCGCCAGAACAAGTCGTCCTCCTTGCGCCGGAAGAAGACGCCGTCCACCCGGTCAGGGTTGCTCTCCTCGCCCTCCAGCTCGGGCTCCTTCTCCACCACCTGCACGATCAAATCCCCCGCGACATAGTCCGGGCTGGCATCCGCCTCGTTCTCGTACGCGATGCGCACCCCGTCCGCCATGCCGCGCTGCACCGTCAGCGACACGGTCGCGGGGCGGCGCACCACGCGCTCCCCGCCGCAGGCCTTGCAGCGGTGCTTGATGCTCTTCCCCCGGCCGCCGCACGCGTCGCACTGCATCTGCACTTGCGTGACCATGCCGGGGGCCAGCTGCTGGCGGACGGTGCGGACGCCGCGGCCGGCGCAGGCGGTGCAGGCGTGCACGACGCGGTCGGCGGCGCCCGTGCCCTCGCACTCCTCGCAGATCTCCTGCTTGTTCCACTGGAACTCGGTGGTGCGGCCGTTGTAGAAGTCGCGCAGGGCGACGGGGACTTTGACCTCGACGTTGTGCCCGCGCCGCTGGCCCGGCTGGCTGCCGTAGTGGCCGCCCCCGCCGAAGAAGCGGCTGAAGAGGTCGAATGGGTCGTGCCCGCCCCCGCCGCCGCCGCCTTGTTGCTTGCGCTGCTTGAGCGCGTCGTATCCGTACTGGTCGTAGATTTGGCGCGACTCGGCGTCGGAGAGGGCTTCGTAGGCTTCGGCGACGAGGACGAACTTGTCGTGGGCTGTTGAGTCGTTGCTGGGGAGAGGGGGTTGGGTTGTTAGAGGGGTTTGTTTGTGCGGGAAGGGAAGAAGGGGTGTTTCCGAGGAGGTAGGCGAACTCACGGGTTCTTGTCGGGGTGGTATTTCTTGCTGAGTTGCCTATAGGCCGACTTGATCTGCCTGTCGGAGGCTTGCTTGTCGAGGCCGAGAACCTGGAGTGGTTCGGTGTTAGAGAAGGCTAGACTTCCAGGCAGGGAATGGGGGTAACCACGATCGTACCTTGTAGTAGTCCTCGGCGCAAAGCGCAGCCTGGGCCAGTGCCAGAAGCGGCAGCAGAATGGTCTTGAGTAACCTCATGATTTGTATGCGCTGCGGCCGCTATGGCCAAGCTGTCCACTTACGCTTTCCGAGGCCAATTGGTAGCGAAATAGGGATCGTCTGACCGTGTGTTTGGGTCGGCGGAGGGGTGTACACGTCTGTAATGAGCGACAGGAAGTGGGAGGGAAATGTGTCGTCGGGTGGAGAGAAAAAGGGTTGTGATGATGTCTTGATATGGACATGTAATCCGTGCAAAGGACACTTCTTTAAACCTGGGCGCATTGCCAAGCATTTTTGGCGGCCCGCGATCTTCGGTCACCCTGCGGCAGATCTTGGCATCCTCCATGCAATTGACCACCACAAACCAAATCTCAGATCCTAGCCCACCGACTCATCTTTGTTCTTCACTTTCGATACCAGCCACAGCCAGCTCGTTGGATCGTGGGGCCACAAACCATATAGCTTTAGACCTTTGGCCCTCCTCAGGGAAGTTGGTTGGATCACTCATGATAGGTAATCAATGTCACGCCGTTTCCACAGTGGCTCCAATGTTGATACTTAGTTTGTTTTGTCTATCTGTCGTTTGGCACCTTCATGGAGGCCGCCTGCCAAACGGAATGAGACCCGCTGAGCACTACTTCTGGCGCGACGTCGTCACCTAGCCGAAAGAAGTTGGAGCCCGGCGTGCCCAATTCAAGATCGCGGCGAAGAATGATGGGAAAATGCCATCGCTATACCGACGTCAAGAACGGACGGAGCGACGCGGAGTGCGTACATAAGCGTGCGACCAAGGGTCAAGTTGCAAAAATGCAACTTACTCGTCCCTCCTCGGCCCTGATGCATAACTAAACAAGTTAGTTGCCCTTTTTGCGGATCAGACGGTTCGCGCGCCGCAGCTCCCGGTCCTTCTTGGCCAACTGCTGCTCCAAATCATGGCGCAGTTGGTCCATCTTCTGTAGCTCTTCCTTAGCTCTTCCTTGAGCCGCCCGATTTCGCCCGAGGGCCCCTTCGCCTTGGGCTTTCTGGGCTTCATAGCCTTCTGAGCGGCATTGATATCCGCCGCTAGTTGGGTCTCACAAGCCTCCTGGAGAACCTTGGCAATGGAGGCAAAAGGAATATGAATTCGCGCATTAACGTTGCGGGAATTCCTGTGTCCCTTGCAAGTTAGTCGTGCATATTCAGGCCAGGGTATCGGAAGGAGAGAGAGAGAGGACAAAAAGAAAAGAAGAACGAAAAAGGGGGGACGTACGCTGTGCGGGTGAATTCTGCGGGTAGAATGTGCCCAGGAAGCAAATCCGAGGCGTAGATGTCGATGCTTGCGGCCTCGTCGGACAAAGGCACCTAGTCCATGACCGTCTGGATGCCACCGTTCCGTCTGGATGCCACCGTTCTTATCTCGGATCCACATGCTGAGGGCGGAGCGGTCCAGGGCGCTAGCTGTCTTGCTAGCACCATCCAGGCCACAGGCGTAGAACACATCCAGGCAGAAGACTACCTGGATATGATTCTCTTTGAAATATTCCTTATACCGGGTCTCCAATTATTCCCCAGGGAAACGATGGGCATAGGCAATTTCAACGACCAAGAACGGGCAACGGCGTCCCTCCCGTCCGAGCATCCTGGAACAAATAGCCACGTCGGGAGCCATATTGACGGTAGGAGGGTTCGTGTCGTCCCTAACCTTGGCGCTTCTAATGTAACAGGAGCCAAAGACGGTGGGAGGGCGTCGTGCCCGGCCCATTTTTCTTGCGTTTGATTCATAATCAAATCCGAGAAGAGGTCGGAGAGGTCGAGATGAATTTGAGTCGATTTCTTTTTGTAATAAACCACACCGCAGCTGTAGTCGGACGTATCAGGGTCGCCGCGGGGTTCCGCCTGTAGAAGTGTGAGATATTGCGTAGGTGAAACCTCGAAAGCCATGCCTCCGAAGGGCTCACGGGGAGAGTCATGATCGAGATCCTCCAGTCGCTGGAGCAGGTCCTCGAAGCTGCCCAGGGCATTGTCGCGTGGGAACTCGTCCATGGTGAATCGAAAATGCATCCAAATGCCCCATAAGAAGGAGAGGGTGGTTTCTGAGAAGGGAAGATGGATGGGAGGAGGGGCAAAATAGAAGGACCTGGCTTCCATTTGTTTTACTTACACAGTAAGTCCCTCACCCCGGCAATCGCACACTCCACCTCTCGCACACCTTCCAGCCCCGCATTCCTGCCCAACCATCCCTCGTCCCGTCCAAGGTCAAACCACAACAATTTAGTCAATTTTGGTCAATTATTCACAAGTTCGATATCGTTTTAATTACTGGAAGCAGGGATTTTATGATGGCTAAAAAATACACCGAAGAAAACCTCCAAAAAGCCATCAGCGCCATCAGAAACGGAAGCATGTCCGTACGGAAGGCAGCCGAAGAGTGGGGCGTACCCCCCTCAACCATTCAGTCCCGGATCAAGAAGGGTGTCCGACCCAAGGGCGAATACGAAGCTACTGTATTGCAAAAGCTTTCGCCTACCCAGGAAAAGCATCTGGCGGCCTGGATCACGATACAAGAGGACTTAGGCGTCCCTGTTTCCCATCGCCAGATTCGCTTATTCGCCGACCGTATCCTCCAGGCAAACGGCTCCTCAGAGACGGTCGGGAACGGCTGGCTTCCTCGATTTTTCAAGCGCCACCCAGAAGTTAAGACCAAGAAGGTGAAGCGAGTTGACTACAAGCGCATTGAAGGGGCAACAACATGAGTTTATTAGGACCTGGTTTGAGAAGCTTGTGCTCCCTGCTATTGAGGACATCTTGCCCGAGCACCGGGGGAATATGGACGAAGTTGGAGTGATGGAAGGTATGGGAACAAACGGTTTATGTGTTGAAAGACAGGGGACCAGAGTTGCTATCGCCAAGAGTCCAGAAAACCGGATCTGGATCACGATCATCGAATGCATCACGGCAGCGCGTCAGTCACTCCCCCCTGGTTATCTATGAGGGCGCGGACGTTCAGCAACAGTGGTTTCCTCGCGATCCACGCCTCTACAATGCTATCTCACGTTGGAGGTTTACGACAAGCCCAAAAGGATGGACAAACAATGATATTGCGCTTCACTGGTTGAAGGAGATTTACATCCCTGGGACAGCAACAACAATGAGGCGGTTGTTGGTAGTTGATGGGCATGGGAGTCATGAAAGTGATGAGTTTATGTGGGAGTGTTACGCCAACAACGTTCACCTTCTTTTTTCACCTCCACACTGTTCCCACGTCCTCCAGCCGCTCGACCTTACCGTCTTCAGCCCCCTGAAGAACAGCTACCGCCGTTACCTTAGCGATATCATCCTTCAACGAAACGGACTCCCTCTCAACAAGCAGGACTTCATCGTCGCCTATGCTAGAGCCAGGGAAGATCTGATGTACAGCAAAAATGTCAGATCTGGATGGGAGGCATCTGGTCTCTGGCCCCTCAACATCGAGAAGCCTCTCGCGAGTCGTTTTGTCGACGTAGGACAACCTAGATAGGTTTCCACGCCTCGAAAACGACGCCATCGGTCACAAGGAAGTCTGTCGAAGGTTACTAGGCCATCATATAAGACTGTCCCGACGCCTAGACGCAATCAAGATATCTTCAAGTTGTTGTACGAAGTTAGCCCTGAACTACGCGAGATTTTCAGGACGGACAACACGGTCAAGATCAGCTTTGATAAGATCGCGAAGCTTGTTGTTGAGAAAACGATGGAAGTCTTGAATTTGCAACTGAAACTTGAGGCAGCTGAAGCTCAGTTGGAAAGAGTGAGGCCCAAGAAGAAGAGGAAGGTCAAACTGGATCCCAACGCCAAATTTGCGACTATGGTAGATATTATCAAGGCGAAGTTCGAAGCTGGGGAGCTTGTAGAGACATCAGACGCTTTAACGGACGTCGTCCTACAGGGTCATTTGCAGGATTTCAGCGAGTATATGGATTGAGGCAATGTTGAAGTTGTTCAGGAGAGTTGTCTTCCACATGTGCGAAGTGGGTCAAAGTGTGCGATTGGTGGTGTGTGCGATTGCCGGGGGTGGGGACTTACCATTATCTTATCGCAACGCCACTCTATTTGGTTAGCGTCTTCGCTTAATTGCTTGAATGTTCACCCTACCAAGTTATGGCTCGTCACCTGTTGGTTTTGCAAGACTTGTTTCGATGCAAATAAAATAACTGACATTGTGGGTGTGCGACTTTCGAAGTGTACTTCATATTCGTAGGTCAGTCAAATTCACACATATCACTTCAGTAATGGCCCACTTGCTTCTCACGACCATCAGGTACTTTGACCAATCTTGCCTCTGAGAAAATGAATGGACAAACCGCATTCAAATAACCATTTAACTAGCAATGCTAGACTAAATCTAGCCCAGGTTTCACATCAATGCGACAGGACAGCATCTCAATTTTGAATCTCTTGCGCGCTGGCTCTATGACTTTAACTCCAAAACTATGGTGTGCACCCCAGAATGAAGGGGCTGTGAACGAAGTGACTTGAGCAAGCACCCTGCCTAGGCTCCAAGGCCACAAAGGTACCCAGGTATGCATAGAAGCTGGGGTGCATCGCCAAGCACATTGCTGCTTTCCACAACCCCCCCCACCTTCTTACACTTTCAGCCCTAACCCTACAGCAAGACCTTGTCCCTTTCAAAAGTCGCCCGCCCCATACATCTTCACCCATACCATTGCGTAATAAGTGGCCGGATAAGAGTAGGGCCATAGGAATGTGTCCGGGGGTAGCTTATACTTTCTCCCGCTCAGATTCTCACCCTCCTTCTCACCTGCAACCATCCCACTCACTAATCTTTCACTTCCCCCTTCCCCCTTTTCTTCCCCCTTTCACCCCCTTTTACTCCCGCCCTCATCGTCATCCAGAATCACCACCACCACCACTACCGCCATTCAAAGCCCCCAACCCAAACCAAACCAACCAACAGACCACACCACACCACACCAAACCCAACCACCCACGATGCTCCCACCCGTTCTCGCCTCGCTCCTCCACCCCTTCCACTTCATGGCCATCGCCCTCACCCACCTCCCCCCCACCATCCTCAGCGCGCTCCTCACCGGCGACTTCGGCACCCTCCTCTCCCCGTCCCGCCTCCGCGCCGCCTGGTTCGGGCGTTTCTGGGCCGTGGTCGGCCCCCTCGTGCGCATCCACGCCGAGCCCAACGTGATCCCGCTGCTCCAAGGCCGCGTGACCCACGGCGTGGTCCCCCCACCCACCACCACCACCACCTCATCTCAGCCACACCCACCCGTCTCCGGCACAGTCCTCGAAATCGGCCCCGGCTCCGGCATGTGGACGTCCCTCTTCACGCCCGCCCACCTCCCCTCCATCGACAAGGTCTACGGGATCGAGCCCAACACCGACATCCACCCCCTGCTCGCAGCACAAGTGGCGGCGGCCGGACTCGACCGCGACGGCAAGTACGAGATTGTGCCCGTGGGGATCGAGGCGCTGGCGGAGTCGGGGCGGGTGGCGCGGGAGAGCGTGGACTGCATCGTGACGGTGATGTGTCTGTGCAGTATTCCGGAGCCGCGGCGGAATATGGCGCAGTTGTATGGGTATTTGAAGCCCGGGGGCAGGTGGTATGTGTATGAGCATGTGAAGTGCTTTAGGGAGCAGGGGTGGGGGATGCGGTTGTATCAGGGTGAGTTTGGCCTGGTCTGGTCTGGCCTGGCTTGGCCTGTGTTGGCTGGCTGTCAGGACTTTTGTGCAATTGAGGGGGCAATCCGCTGACTTTGTCGTTTCTAGCATGCTTGAATCTCGTCTGGCCTCAGTTTATTGGAGGATGCGAAATGTGTCGCGATACAGGAAGGTGGCTTAAGGAGGCCGCTCCATGGAGCCAAGTTGACTTGCACCAGTTGGATGGCGAGGCCTGGTACTTCACCATGCCTCACATCATCGGTGTTCTGACCAAATAGAGCCTCTGGGCCGTTTCAGAGCGTTTTGCATGGGTTTTGGCGCCGTCGTTCTTGTTTTATATCCCATCGTACATCTACCAGACACGATGTCACGAATAGCAAGCAAAAGTTTCAAGTCACTGAACGAGTGAATATTGGGCCTAAGCCTTCCGCTACCTGACTATCTCGGGCGCCATATCCGTCCATCCATCTCCCTTGTCATGCAGGCAAAGCCCGTAGAAATCGCCAAAGATCAGCCGAAATAAACGACCAATGCCTCATCAAAGTAAAAAGATCGACTCCCACCCCATAGAAGATAGCCAGTCCATTGAGCAAGTTTACCAGCCGCTGTTGTCAACAACGGCGCCCGGGCCCCAGCCACCATCGCCGCCATCAGCAACGCCGGTATCAGCTGGTGCAGGGCCAGAGCAGCCGCCATTCTCGGCACCACCACCGCCATAACCGCCGCCACCGTAGCCACCCTCGCCATCGTCCTCGGGGACCAGAGGGTTGGGGCATCGAGACTTGTAGTGACCCATCTCCTGGCAGTTGGCGCACTTCACACGCGCCACTGTAAAATAATTAGCAACGACCGGCAGAGTTGAGTTTGTCACGAGGACTCACTATCGCGCGGCTTCGGGCACTCTTTATTCATGTGGCCAAACTCATCGCAGTTGCGGCACTGCACCAGAGCCATGTTGCGCGGCTCGGTGCAATCACGGGACATATGGCCCTCCTGGCCACAGTTGCGGCAGCCGCTGGGACCGCCCTGCGGGCAATCGCGAGAGAAATGGCCGGCTGGCCGTGGTCAGTAAGTCCTTGGTAGGACGGAAACAGAAACTTACTCTCGTTGCACTTCCGGCACTCAACATTCTCGGCTGAGCGAGGCTCAGGGCAGTCCGAGACTTTATGTCCCGATTGGCTGGGAAATTGTCAGCATCTTCACATCGTATCTTTTTGAGGGGTGACGAACCCGCAGTTCTTGCAGGCAAATCGATCAACGCGCGGGGTAGGGCCTTGGAGACGGTCAGTTAACAGAACATACTCAAGCATTGGGGGGGGGAGTAACTTACAGTCGCGAACACGATGGCCGGGCTCGTTGCAGTTAAAGCACAGGATTTCGAAGGTATTCGCCTTTTCGACCTTGTCCTGGGGGCAGCTCTTGGAAATATGACCGAGCCCGTCGCAGTTGCTGCACTTGGGAAGGCCGCCATAGACGACTTCACCGGCATCGCTGAGGCGCTCGATGTTCTCGTTGACGTCCTTCGGCCACAGCTCCCGATCACGCGGACGAGGGGGGTTCCACTGGAAACGGTAGGTGACCGTGTACTTCTTGCCGAGGCAACCCTGGAGATCCATGTTGGTGAAAGTGGCAGCCAGGGTCTTTTCAATGGCGATGAGCCACACCGGCACATCTTGGGCACGAAAAGCGCGCTCTAGATCAGCGTAGGTAGTGTCAGGAGCCGACTTGACGTAGACCTGAATGGCCTCCTTGACATCGTCAATGTCGCGCTCCTTGACAGCACGCTTGATGAGCGTCCAGGCTTCCTCGGTGGGCATATCCGCAAGGTGGTCGCGATCGATCTTGCGAGAATTCTTGCACTGGCTGATCGTGTGACCTGCATTTCAAACAAAGTCAGCAACCTTTCATTGCCATAACACCAGAGGATCATCATACCAGTCTCGCGGCAGTTCTTGCAGACGCGGTCGGGGCAATCCTTGACGACATGGTCGGGGGACTGGCACTCCTTGCACAGCATGGGCGGTGCGTTAGGGCAGTCCTTGCTCCAATGGCCCTCCTCGTTGCAGCGACGGCAGGCGCCAGACAAGACGCGCGGGTTGGGGCAATCAGCCTTGTTGTGACTACAGGACCGTGTTAGTCGCACTAGTCTGGTTTATTGATCGCGTAAAGAAGCAGGTTACTGACCCAGACTCGCCACAATTGAAGCAAGCGCGATCGCCGCCAGTGTTGCCGGCGCCCTCGTTGCCACCGTTCTCTGCGCCAAAGCTGTCGCCGCCTGCGGCAGCGCCGAAACCGCCATTCCAGTCGTCGCCGTTGGTATTGCCGGTACCCCAGGAATCGGTAGCAGCAGCGCCGCCGCCGCCGCCCCAGTTGTTGTCCCAAGACATGATGGTTGTGTTCTAGTTTGTAAAGTGCCTATAATATTGGTGTCAAATAGATTCCGAAGTCGAAAAGAGATGACGCTCTTGGTTTCGAAGAGAAAGCGACCCGACCGGTCGCAATTTGCGGGGTGCGGCAACGACGGCGCGACTGCCGAAAACTAAGTGAAGAAAAGAGTGGGAAAGAGGCGATGAGCTTACCTGTTCCAATGAAAGCCTTGAGTCAGTCGATCGACAACCGAGGTGTCGAGCGTCTGTATTTCCTCGAAGTTGGTGGTGAGAGCGAAGAAGAACAGAAAGAGAGGGCGGCAAAAATGCAGCCAGGTGGGATGGTGGGGGAATTTTGCAGAAAAAGGCCAACAAAGAAAACTGTGCTTTCAAGGTCAGATTCTAAGCCCTGAGTGAGGAAGAGGTCGTCGGACGATCTGTGCTCTCTCGGCGGGACATTGGGAAGGAGCATGTTGGCACAGGTGATGTGATTTTCATTTTTGGGGATGATTTCACGGTAGCAGATTTGAACCAAGAAAGGAAAGCGCAGTTAGTCCACCGCACACCAGGTCGGGCAGTCGATATGATAGTGTTGGTTGTGATTCAGATCTGGCGATAATTCTTTGGTGTTTTGGTCCCAGCAACGGACAAAAAGGGGCAAAGTAAACAATCATCCAGGGATGTTACTGTGCGAGCTATCACAGCACACGGTCTGGCCTGACTGCCTTCTGAGCCTAGAACTGGACCAGGGCGGGAAATTAAATGCCTGGGCATGAAAGGTTTTGCCATCACCATATTATTCAAGATAAGAATCAAATCGCATTATGTGTGTATGTTTATGTGTGAACTGTTCCAGACCCGATGTGCCAACTTGGGCAGTCTCATTGTGGCAACAGGAGAGATAAAGCCTTGGCATGATGGGTCTCAAAAGAGCGCTTTCTCCCATCTGTCTGTCTAAGCACTTGGACCTTGCTGGCTGTTGGGCGCACGGCTTACAAAGGCAATTACGAAGTACTAGCTACTCATACGGTGTTAGATGTGCTCTGCAGATCATTCAGTTATTGTCTCTTGCGACCTTGATTGTAGAATTTTCAGTTTCGGGTCTGATATCCCAGCTGCCTCTTTTGACTCACGCCGAAAGATGGAGATGAAAGTTGTTGTGGCGGCTAAATGGAATCTCTGGACTGTTCAACCGTTAGCTCCAACTTGTTTGTCTCCATACGGCCCTTCTCGCCGGAAAAGAAGCCCAAAGAAGCATGAGGTTTGTAATCCTGATGCAGCCTTGTTGGATCGCCAGATCCAATAGAGATTCATTCAGAAGGAGCGTGATGGTCGTTGGCAAGGCCAACCCTGGACCCAGCGGAGGGGTAACAGCGGGGAGCAAACACCCCGCAACCCATCATGCAGGTATATCGGCCCTATTGATTCTGTAACACCACTTGGTCCGGAACACAAGGTCGATCAAACTTTCTTGGAGGCCTTTAAAGAGCTGAGGCATTAAGCTTTGGTCGCAAACTCAACCTTGACATCTTGCCCAAACCCAAACCCCAACCATCGGCTCAGCACACATCAATCATGTCGAAACCTGACAACCTCCCCGAGATGGAATACCGCTTCCTGGGTCGCTCCGGCCTTCAGGTCTCGGCCATCTCCCTCGGCGGTTGGTTGACTTACGGCGGGCATGTCGACCGCGAGGGGACGTATGCCTGCATGAAGGCCGCCTACGACTGCGGCGTCAACTTCTTCGACTGTGCCGAGGGGTACGCCGAGGGTGAGTCTGAGAAAGTGATGGGCGAGGCCATCAAAAAGTACGAATGGAAGAGGAACGATATCGTCATCTCCACCAAGGTAACCAACCCTCATTGGCACGGTTCAGACTCTCGGTGCCGGTGTTGACCGTTTATCAGCTCTACTGGGGCGACGCTTTTAGCAACAGCAAAGTCAACAACCGGGGCCTGTCGCGGAAGCACGTCATCGAGGGCATGAACCAGTCGCTCGAGAGGCTGCAGCTGGAGTATGTCGACCTGATCTACGCTCATCGCCCGGACCGGCACACGCCCATGGAGGAGACGGTGCGCGCCTTCAACCACCTGATCAACACGGGCAAGGCGCTGTACTGGGGCACTTCGGAGTGGAACGCCGATGAGATCGCACAAGCATGGCGGTACGCCGACAAGCTGGGCCTGATCGGCCCCGTGATGGGTACGTTGATGCCTCGCTCCAAGTGAAGGGCGACTTGGGAGCTAACTGGAACAGAACAACCGCGGTACAACATGCTCGAGCGCATCCAAGTCGAGAGGGAGTACGCACACCTGTACCGCGAGGTCGGTCTCGGCCTGACGGTCTTCTCGCCCATGCGACAGGGTATCTTGTCTGGCAAGTACAAGAACGGCATTCCGGACGGGTCGCGGTTTGCTCAGACGCAGGTCGAGTTCATCGCTGGGTTCTGGAAGCAGACGGGCAAGGCCGAGTTCCAGGCCATGGCCGACACGGTCAGCAAGCTGGAGCCGATCGCGGAGAGGCTGGGAGTCAAGCAGAGCGTGCTGGCTCTTGCGTGGGTGCTCGCAAACCCCAACGTGAGCTCCGCCATCACGGGTGCCAGCAGCCAGGCGCAGGTCTACGAGAACATCGAGGCAGTGCGGGCGTACAAGAAGTTGACGCCCGAGATTATGAAGGAGATTGATGAGATCCTCAACAACAAGCCGCCGACGGTCACGATGCGGTATTAGGTCTTAGGGAAGGGGTAGATTAGTGTAAGGGAAGCAAAGAAAAATAAAAACACTCGAAATCCATTGTCCTTGCCTCGAAAGTCTGTGATATCGTTGTGCAAGTTGAGGATGGAACAAGATGGCAGCCCAGCAAACATCGGATGATTTGGACAGGGGACAGCCCACCAAGATTGGTTTCTGGAACGATCAGTCCCCTTTTCGATCCAGCTTGGAAGTGGATGCACGGACACGGGCAACCTTGAAGGGGTTCAATTGGTCCCCAGATTGGATGCCCCGCTCACAGCCAGGGGAAGCCCCGCTTCGACCCCTACGATAGCCACGCGTACCAGGGCGGTGAAATATTGCAGTGGAAGCTGCCGATGGACTGGAGAACTGGACTTTCAAGTTTCAACTTCACGGTGCTGTCGCTTGTTTCGGTCAACTCCCACAAGCAGGCCGCCGTCAAATTTCGGCCTCTCCTCGAACACGATGGCTCGCTCCGTGACAGCAACTACGAACGGCGCTTCGAAGAGGAGGGAACCCGCCAATGGCAAGGCAAACAGGCAGGTAAACGGCAGCGCGAACGGTGCAGCTCCGGAAGCTGAAGCACAGGTCGATGATGCGAGTTACCGCGACTTCTTCTGGACCTACACCGAGGAGCCACATCGGACCAGGCGCCTTGCCATCATCAAGGCGCATCCCGAGGTAAGTCTAGCATTATTTCTGCACCTATCCTCAATGACGATCCAGTTAACTAACCGTTCGTTTGTTTCCATATAGGTAACCAAACTGTGCGGTCCCGAGCCCCTGACCAAATATGTCGTCGCCGGTGTCGTTGGCCTCCAAATACTTCTCGCCCATCTCCTGCGCGACACCTCCTTTTGGTCATGGAAGTTCTGGGCAGTGGCATACGTCTTCGGCGCCACCTCCAACCAGAACCTGTTCCTCGCCATCCACGAGATCTCCCACAACCTCGCCTTCAGGTCGCCCATGGCCAACCGACTATTTGCCATTTTTGCCAACCTGCCCATTGCCGTGCCATACAGTGCTTCGTTCAGGGTATGCTATCCACGTCGCTGCCCTACAAACAATTACTGACCCTCCCAGCCCTACCACCTCACGCACCACAAGTCCCTCGGTGTCGACGGTCTAGACACCGACCTCCCTACTGCCTTCGAAGCTGTGTTCCTCGACTCGATCCTTGGAAAGGCCTTCTTCTGCACCTTCCAAATCTTCTTCTACGCTCTCCGGCCCATGACCGTCTACCGTGTGCCCTTCACCTGGGTGCACGGCCTGAACGTCGCCGTCCAACTCGGGTTCGACTACGCCCTCGCGTGCCTCCTCCCGGGCTACTTCACCTTCAATTCTGTCCTCTACCTGCTGCTCTCCTCCTTCCTGGCCGGCTCGCTGCACCCGACAGCGGGCCACTTCATCGCCGAGCACTACGTCTACGAGAAGATCATGCCCGAGGCGCGCCAGCCGAGCAACAACATCCCCGTCCCCGAGACCTTCAGCTACTACGGCCCGCTGAACCTGGTCACGTACAACGTCGGCCTGCACAACGAGCACCACGACTTCCCGGCCATCCCCTGGACCCGCCTGCCCGTGCTGCGGGAGATGGCCAAGGAGTTCTACGCCGACCTGCCGCAGCATCGCAGCTGGACCTACGTACTGTGGCGCTTCATCTTTGACGAGGAAATTGGCATGCGGTGCCGGGTCAAGAGGAAGCAGGGCGGGAGAGTGGTTGGAGGAGGGACCGTCAAGGCCAAGGTGGCGGACTGGAAGGAGGATGAGATTGAGGCATAGAGCGGGGGTCGTTGCAGCAGACTTTCTGGCATCGTTTTGGCTGTTGAGTGGGTTATAGACTTGGTAATGGTGCATGTACGATGGGTTTTGTGTTCGCCTTGAGTTGTCAGATATCGCATAATATATGAGACCCCTTGGGATCATGCGCGTAATGTCTCAGACTGGTTGCGGCAGTCTCGTTGTCAAAGTAATATGTAGACCGCAACAAACCGGGCTGGGTTGTGGAACCCGATAAAGCCTTACTTCAAAACGGTGATTTTCCTGAGAAGACAACCGAAAGCCATTGTAGCGACGCCGCCTCAGTCATGGACTGTGCGTGAAACGATGCCACAACAGATTGCCATCCCTCAACAGTTCCCCCTCTTACCAATACCCCGAACCTTTGTGTGTGTGTGCCAGTTCTACATCGCGGGTTGGTGAGGCACATGACATTATAAGAGGCCAGCTTCAGTTCCTCTACACAGGCAACAACGCCACGAGTCGGGCGTGCGTTTTTCGCCCACAGTTGTCAGGAATACCCTCATTTATATTCGCGGACATGGTGAAGATGCAAAGAGTGGTATCTCAGCTGTGAGGCACGGCATTTATTTTGTCTTCTACTTAACAAGATACCCCCAAGATGATATCACGGGCTATGAGACACAAACCACAGGGTTGAGACCCCAGCAGGGCCTTTTTGCCACCCCCAACAATCCCCAGACACACACCCCTAACTTGACACCTTGAGCACCATGAGATATCACCCATCACTAGCAAATACACAAACACAAGCACAAGCACAACCGATATGTGCTCAGTGTCGTCGCGTACCTGTATTCGGCCAGACCTGGAATAAATACGGAATACGATATATTGATAGCTAAATCCCGCAAGCCCCTGCCCCTTTCTTTTTCCCTGTCCATTTCATGAACTCGTGACCATCGTTTATTGATTCTGTGTCCAAGACATCTAAACCCACGTACACCATCAGATTGGAGGGAAAATGTGGTTTTGTTGAATCGTTGTGAAACATGAAAACAAGGGTGAGTTAGTCCGTCAAGTGTAAATGTGATAAGGAAAACAAGGCGGTATGAGGCCTGGGTGGAATAGATGGCAAAAGGGAGGGAGGGAGGGAGAGGGCTTAAGAAACAAGTAAAGGGAAGGAAAAGGGAAAGTTGATACCGAAGAAGGGAAAAGGGAGAAGCACGTCTAATGCGTCTTCATTTACCGACTCTCTTGCTCAGTGTTTACCCACCAGCTGCTTCCAACCAGCTAACTTCTTCTCCGCCCGGCGCTCGCCAGGGGTGTTGGCCTTTTCCCAATAAACCGGCCATCTAGGAAGTAGGAAAGCAAAGAATACAGGAGGTACCTAGTAAAAAGGAGACTCGACTCCCATCATAACCGTCCCATGACCGGGCCCTGAGGCAGTTGTGATTTAAAAAAGGGAACCCTAAACAAACACAAGAGAGAGAGAAACCACCGTCCATCCGTAAAACCCACGCGCCCCCGGTTCAAATCATCATGACAAATCTGCCCAGCTCCCGCTAACTGAGAACCTCATTCTTGGAAAGAAAACAGATTAAAGAGTAAAGGAAACAAGGGTGGAAAGACGTAACGTAACGTAATCATCATCAACAAAAATCGCTTCTTTCTCTCTCTCTCTCTCTCTCTCTCTCTCTCTCTCTCTCTCTCTCTCTCTCTCTCTCTCTCTCTCTCTCTCTCTCTCTCTCTCTTTCTGTCTCTCCTAGTATGTGTCGAGTGCCTTTTTATGCGTCTCTCCACCCACTCGACCAACCACCAAAACCAGCAAAAGAACGCCCCCGCAGAAACCCGCCAACCAACTCCCGCTCCAGCACTCCATTCTTCGGGAAGGAGACAAGGAGAAAAGGGGAGAGAGTAAAAAAAGAAACGGAAAAAGAAGAAGGGGTGTAAAAAACACGAAGATGATTTTGTCCATAATACCATGCCCACCACGCCATGCACGCTTCCCCCGATTCAGTCAGTCAAGTCAGTCAGTATACAGAACCCGCTCCAAATCAACCCCACGCCATTTCCCCCCTCATGCCTCCAAAGGCCCCAACCCAACCCAACCCAACCCAGAAAAAATAAAAAAACCAAGTCTGCAAAGATCTTCTTGACAACAATCAGTCATAATAAACAAAGGAACAAAAAATTGCGTCGCTGGACGCAGGGTTTGACAAAACCCCGCTTTCTACAAAGCAACAGAAATCGTGACCTCCCCATCACCATCTCCCACGGTGGGCGCCCGATTATCACCACCACCACCGTCACCGCCCTTGGTCCCATTAGGGGGCAGACCGGGCGGATCATTAGCGGCGTTGGGCTTGACGGTAGTCTTGCCGGAGATGGTGGCGGTGCGGACGCGCTGGCTTAGGGGCAGGGTGTACTTGAGGACGCCCTTAAGGATGAGGGTGAACTCGTCGTCGAGGATGCGCTCCCAGCGCTCCTGGCCGCCGTAGGTGCCGTTGCCGGGGTTCTTGAGGCGCACCTCGCCGCTCGAGTACGAGATGCCCTTGTGGAAGAAAGAGCCCTCGAACGAGAGCGCGCTGTCGAACCCCGTGATGGTGCCCAGCCGCATGTTGGGCGCCGCGTCGTCGGGCGGGGACGGGTCCGGTTCGGCCTCGAGAATTTGCATCATGTTGCTGCTGCTAGCTTCTTCGTCGCTGACCGGCCTGCGAGGCGGCGGCGGGCCGATCTCGCCCGGGTGGGTGTGGCGCCACCATTCTGAGTCGGTCATGGCGTGCGGAGACTTGGCAAAGACTTCGATGTCGGCCGAGTCGACGACCACGACGACGACGTTCGGGTTATGGGCTTTGATAGTGAGATCTAGCATCAGCTCCTGCTGGCTCGCCACGACGTGGTCCATCGAGACGAGCTGGATGCCGGTGAGCGGTTGGGATGTGGCAAACATGAACCCGATGGCACCTGAGACGACAAGGAGAAGCATCACGGTAAGGACGAGGCAGCTCGCAAACCGGTTGAGGACCGAGGGCGCCGAGCGGTGGTAGGTCTGCGCCTCGATGGAGCGCAGGGAGTGACCGCTCCTCCGGCCCCTGCCCGAGCGTGATGATCGTACCGTTCCAGAGCCGATAAGAGGTGTTGTCTCGTCATCGGCGCCTGTGGTGTCGTCAAGATCATAGCCTACCGATAGGTGCGTCCCCCGCTTGCCGTTCACTCCGGCAACAGGACGGTTCGCGAATCGAGGGCTCGGGGGCGCAGACGATTGTCGCGAGTTCAGATTCCCCTGAGCTAGTGATCCACCGAACGGACCATGCTCGGCGAACAAAGAAGGGTGGCCGTTGCCACCACCGTTGCGGCCCCAGCGGCCGAAGTGGTGGTGATGGCGGGCAGTCCCCCGGCCAGAGCCGGCGTTGCTCCTCCCGGTTCCCCTGCCGTCGTCCTCGGCGAAGCCGCTGTCGCTGTGGCCGTTTGTAGCCGACGAGTTTACGAACTTCATGCTCTTTTTGGGCACGACCGGCTGGCCGTTGCTCTCCATGACGGCATGGATCGAGCGCATGCCGGCGCGGTCGATCTGGCTGGCCATCGAGGTGGTGCTCGGGGTCCGGGAGTGGAATCGCATGGGCCGCTCGCGGGCATCTGGAGGGTTAGAATCGTAGACGAAGGTCTCGTCCGAGTCGGACGAGTTCGCCTCTTCGACGGCGCTCGCGACCTTGGCCTCGAAAATATCCGCCTTGGACGACGCTAAGCGATGTCTTGTCAGTAAGTTGCTCATCTGGTACATGACCATGCTCTGCCTGCGGGAGTGGGTTCGACGAGAGCGACTATCTCCTTCGTCGTGGTGGCATTTTGTCGGCGAGAGACACTTATTCTCGGTCGATGAGACGACTGATCCCATGGACTGGTAATGGCGCAACCGGGGGAATAAAGCAGCTGAGTTTGGTGGCTCACCATTGCCGGCCGTCACGGTGGGTGTCTTCCGTGCCGGCTTCTTCTTCTCCTTCTTTGGTCGTATCGTTTCTGTGCTCGCCTTTGTGCGCAGGCTGACGGTCGACCCTTGCCCTCCCGTACCCGGCACGAGCGGGGCTTGTGGAATAGACGTCACCGTCTCTGTCTCCACCGTCATGCTCTGCAACGACGCCTCACCGGTCTTGCTTTTGGTGACACCCTGCTTGATGCATGTGCTCGACTGCCTAGACGTCAAAGGAGGCGCGCTTATCGCTCCGCTCCGCCGCCCTGTCTTCGTGTTGTCGGTCTCGCTCCCGCTGTCCCCTGCGCTTATCCTTCCCTCTCCGTTCTGAGAGAGACCGAGGCCGACGGAATCTGCTTGCGACGTCTCTGGGGCCATGCTGTCGTCGATTTTCTCGTGTATCGAGTCCGTTGGGGCCCGTGGGGATCCTATCGGGCTGACCTCCTGCACGGTCTCGAGGGTCGATGTGCTACCGCCTCCCCCACGCGCTGGCGTCCTCCCGCCGGTTGCAATATGGAGGTCTTCGGGGTCCGTGTCGGATGGCAAGTCCCCGGGAGGTGGCATCGGTGGGGTGGCGTGCTGGACGTTAATCAGGGGAGTCTCCGGCTCTGGCCTTCTCGGTAACCCCATATTTGGCTTGTGGAGGATGGGCGGTGGAGATCGTAACCGCGGGGATACGGGCCATCTGGGCGACTCTCGCAAATGGTCCATCGTGGTGGGTGATTTGACGGGTGCGCCCGCATTAGAGCTCGGATCTGAGGTTGATGGGAGGAGAGTCGGGGTGTTGGCGGAGGAGAGTGACTTGGATCCTGACGCTGGTGGGCCGTTGGCCTGCTTTGCGGATCGCGAAGGGCTGAGATCTTGCTGGCTGTTCTTCCTCGAGCGGATTCCGGAATTCGCTGATGAAGTGCGCGAAGTTGCGGTCCTTGACAATGGCCTGGTGGGAGATGGCTCGCGTGATACGAGGGGAGAAGGCGCGGCGGACGACGAAGTGGACGTGGCAGATGTCTGTGACGTGAACTTGGACGGCCCCGATTCGGTCATTGGGGTTATTGTCGCCGTGCTGGCAGACGATTCGCGGGTGTACGTGGGGTGGGCATCCTGGCTGGCATCAGGGACTTCCGACGTCCCGGGCGATATGTTTGGTGACTTGTCCATGTCTGCATGCGAGCACCGGCACTGGCTGGAGTGGAGAGGATGAGGGGGATGGAGGCTCGTTCTGAGCCACACATGCCACGCCTAGTCGTCGCGGGTTGGGTAGAGGCCACAAACTCTGCCGGGGCCAACGAATGGATACAGCCCGCCCAGGGCGTAAACGGAGGCTGTCGTGGGCGGAAACGATAGCCCCAGTGGGTTTGGGGATTTGTGTGGTGTGTTGCGGGTGTGTCGTGCGACGGGGTCTCGGCGTGGGTGATGCTTGTCGGGGTGTTATTGCGTTGCAGGTGCTCACCTGCTCCTTGGGGGGACAGGAAAAGTGAGCGATTGACGGATGGTCGGCGATATCAAGGGTCTCTCATTTGTTGACAGAAGCAGGCAACTGCTTTGTTGACCAGACAGGGTCGAGCGGCGCGGGATTCGATGTGTGGAGGGAGAATGATGGAGCACAAGAATTGGGTGGATGATGTCGTTTGGTCCAGGTCCAAGAACGCCCACCAAGCTTCTGTGCAATTGTGTTGTTGCAGGCACGCACACAGTGGGGAAATCTGAACGGCCCGGGGGAAAGAAGGTGGGTGGCAGTGGTGCGCTGGCCCGCCCTTCGCCCGTTTTGGGTTTGGACTTCTCGCTTCTGGGGACCCGAGCGCTGGGACGAAGCCTGAAATGGCCCTGCGCGGCAGTTGACGGGCCAAAACGGCGCAATCCGGCACCAAAATTGAGATTTTCTCAAGTTGCTTTCCCCTTCCTTGTCACTCCAATCACTCTGCAGTTCCGCAGGCCTCGTTTCTCGAAAGATTGTGATGATGTTACTGTTCACCCGGCTACGAGGAGGATGCTGCTTTGAAACGCTCCAAAGGCAATTACTGACGGAAGACTTGCTCCGCAAGGTCCCGGTGCCTGGCAGTGGCACAGTACGAAGGTTACAGTGCGAATGTCAGAGGCGACGCTTCTCAGCCCAAGGTGGTGTAAGATCCCTGGTACCTGTGTGAGCGAAAGGGTACAAGCGCGGTGGTAACTTCCCACAAAAACCCCGCGAAAATAACCAGGTGATCAAGTATGAGCAGGTAGCGTGCGTCTCACGCAGTCGCTGGAACTTCGGCAAAGCCCCACTTGTTCTGGTTCCAGAATTTCTTCCCCGCCAAATCCGAAGGGAGAACGCCCCAGAAGAAGAAAGGCTCTGCTCCATCTCAACGGTGCTGTTAGGGCGGGACATTCTTTCAAACTGGGCCGCCAGCCGTCAATGGGCTGTCAGCGTAACATGGTCGACGGATCGGAAGCGGCAGAGTCTGAGCATAACAAATAATGACGACATTTTGGAGTCACGATATTCCTTTTTTTTTTTTTTTTGCTAATTGTTTGAATTCTGTTCAGCGCAGCGTTGCAGCGGCTTGACCGGTCAGTGACGACAAGCACGACTGGTCCAGCTGTTGACCCATGACGGCTTGGAATTGAACTCCCTTTCCAGTTTTCAGGGAACCGAGGATCGGTTGGACAGACAAGACGGGCCGCCCCAGATGCACCCAAAACCAACTTTTTGGTCCAGATCTCATCTCGCCACTTGTTCGCCAACAATAACTTTGTTGTGTAGTAATTGAGGGCTCGGCTTGAGTCTTTGCAACTCATATCCTCGGATGCAGAATCGGTTTCCGGAGCGAGCGAGTGTTTGCCAGTCCGGTCACGCTGGTTTGTTTTGCTTTTGCTCACGAAGCTAAAACCGTCAACAGATTGGTTGGTGACTTGATTCGTGAACGATCTTCCAAGCAGCAGCTCGCTCAACGGCCGCCCCACGTGAGCGAGATGACCATTGCCCGGTCTCCTCATCGAGGAGGATCAGCGCTTTGCCTCTAACGAAGGTCCATTTTCGTCTCAACACCCAATTAAGACCATCAACCATCGGACGAGTCTCAGCGAGAGTTCAGACTTGAAGCGGCGGAGTTGAGAAACACCCGCCGGTAACCATCCTTCCCGCGATGAGAGAGAGAATGGGAAGTACAGGTCTATCGAGCGTGATATTCGTGAGACGCATCAGCCTCTCACAAGCGGACAAGTGGACGGTGGCACACCGCAACGCGCCACAATCCAGCATTTTGGGTGTCATCAACCATTGCTTTTGTCCTCGCTGACAAAAGCGTGGAGGGAACGCCGGGGAGACCTTTGGTACAACGATACTGCCACGGCTGTCATGGCTGCCTGATGACGGGCGAATGCAGAGCTTCTTGTTCTTGCTTTACACAGTAAGTAATGGGTAAGTAATGGGCTGATGACGACGAGATCCGCTTCTCCGTCTCGCGACTCCGTCCGGAGGATCCGGGGGCGCTGACAGTTTCCGGCATGGGCCGACGCGACCCCACCACGCCGTTGGCCCGATGCAAGGGACGGTCAGAATCGTCAGATTCTCACAGGGGCGAGCACCGTGTTTGCTCCCAGGCAAACTTGTCCGTTCCCTACAGACTGGTTCCAGGGAGAAACGGCGCAGGAAGAACAGAAGAACTTGTTTCGTTTCTCAGCTCTCCAAGCGGCTCACCGTCACCTGCCTGCGTGCGTGCCTGCTTCTCCGAAACCGAGAACCCCAGTGGTTCGCGCAAATCTCAAAACCGCGCAAGACTCTGATTTCTTGAATTCGAAACCGATACCAACAGACGTGTGACACGTGGTGCGGGCGGGAATCAATTTTTCTTCCCCAAGACCCACGACGCACCAATCCCCATGGGGCATTCACGCAGTGGTTGCACGGCTGACACCCACCCAAGTGCGACGTGTCGAAGGGCTTGGTTCTCCGAAAGGCTGTGCGACAAATAGGGCTGCGGGTGGGTTTGGGTTGGGCTGATAACATCTGAGACTTTTGTACATACGAGTAATGGTACATTACATACAAACCAGCTCGTTGGTAGGGGCAAGATCCCGTCCGCCGCTAGCCCTCCCCGCTTCCTAATTCTTGGGGATTATGGCATTGAGGCGGCGCGAATGCCCGCCATCACCCGAACCGCCGCTCGCTCTGACCCAGCCCGCGCAGGAACCCGCGCTTGTCACTCGCTCGGCACCGCCACGATGCAGAAGTCGTTTGTCTGAACTCCCACACACATCTTCGGAATCTCTGAGTCCCTGCGTTGGTGATGCTGTCTCTGGTCGGTCCCCCACACTCCATGCCAGGAACGTGGGCTCGTTGTCGGCTCTGATGGGTTGAGGGCCTGGGCAGGGCTGAGAGATGCTGCTGGCTTGATGGACTTGCATTCCAGAGATTGAAGCCCCCACAGTCCGGTTTAGGGTTGTGCTCTCGAGATGTCCCGTTTAGGGAATGCGCTGATGATGTGCTCTTCCCGGGTTGGGACTGGCCAAGAAGCGAGCCATAGAAGACGCCGAGGTACTGCGTAAATCCAGTTATTCATCCGTCTTGTATATTGTGAGGCCATTTTGTTGGCATGTACTAACTATCGGGCTAGGCGGAGCTTTCCTCGCCGTCGACGTCCAGCCGTGAGCCGACTGCCTGCGTCAAGGTGTTGGCGGTGCCATTGTTCCTCTTAGAAAGGGTTTGGGATGGCTATGAGCCCCAGTCGAACGTCATTTCGGTTGGAGAAACAACTCCCAGTCTCTCGAACTTAAGATTCTCATCAAAATAACTCCTTGGTTTAATTATGAACGAGCATGTGATACTCCATGCTGAGAGTAAATCATATGCAAAACCCAGAGACTTATGCTCCGAGCTAGGTGACATGTCGCCAGTCTTTTCCATGCTGTAAAGCGAAGTTTTTTTATTGTCTCATCGAAGTCCCTTAAATGATATTGCTATTCTCTTTCACTTCAGGTTTCGAATATCTTGAAACAAATACGCAGAGGGAGCCAAGACTGGGATGCCCTCTTTCTATGAGAATGACGCCTTACGCCCTCCGACAACCGGTCCGATGGCCGAAACCGAAGTTGGGTGACTCACGGCTCCAAAGTAAATAAAGAGTCATCGAGTTTCAAGAGAAGACAACAACAACTCAGAGGTGTAAACAACCCTCTCTGAGACCCGGTAGTCTCTCTTTGGCACCCACACACCGACCACCGCCACCCACCGACCGGGCCTTAATGAACCACCCTCAAAAATGACCACCCTCACCATGGACTCAGCCTACACCCCATCCCAAGTAGACGCCTACCTCACGCACATCGGCCTCCCACCGTCCTTCCACCCGTCCGCGAACCCCACCCTCAACCTCACCTACCTCACCACCCTCTTCACCCACCAAATAACCACCATCCCCTACGACAACCTCTCCATCCACTACTCCCCCACCCATACCATCGACCTCAACCCGCAAGCCCTCTTCACCAAAATGATCACCGCCAACCGCGGCCGCGGCGGCTACTGCATGGAGAACTCCATCCTCTTCAACCACATGCTGCGGGCCCTCGGCTTCAGCGACGCCTACCTAGCCGGGGTGCGCATCCGCCCGCGCGTGGCCGGCGTCCCGCAAGGCGAGGCCTACACGGGCTGGGTGCATCTGGTGAACATCGTGAGCGTGCCGGGGGAGGCGGCCAAGTACGTGCTGGATGTGGGGTTTGGGGGGGATGGCATGACGCGGCCGATGCCGTTGGTGGAGGGGGCGGTGCAGCATAATGGGATTGGGACGCAGGAGGTGCGGTTGGGGAGGAGGTTTATTCCGAATCAGAGGTTTAGGGGGGAGGGGGCGGAGAGGATGTGGGTGTATGAGGTGCGGAATGGGGTGGAGAGGGACTGGGTGCCGTTTTTTGCGTTCCATGATCGCTTTGAGTTTACAGAGGCGGATTTTGGGAATATCAATTGGTATACCTCGCAGGCGAAGGAGAGTCACCAGACGTGGACGACGCTGGCGATTCGGTTTTTGAGGGGGGTTGCGGAGGATGGCACGGCTAAGGTCGTGGGGAAGGTCATGATGGCGGAGGGGGTTATCAAGGAGAACTTGACTGGCAAGACGCGGTTGGTCAAGGTGTGTAAGACGGAGGAGGAGAGGGTGGCGGCGTTGGCAGAGTTGTTTGGGATTCACTTGACGCCGGAGGAGGCTGCGAGTATAAAAGGGAGGCCGGCCGAGTTGCTCGGTGAGGCATAGAGAAGGGGGTGGTGATAAGTACGAGAAATAGAATAGAGGGGGGAAGCCTTGGATTTATTCTTGTGTGTCACGTTCAATGAGTCTTTGCTGTTGGAATGATTGGCAGTAATAAGGAGCAAGCAATCGCAGCAAATCGGGCCAGAGAGCAAGGGAGTGAGAGTTCTTGTTATACTAGGTCCGCGAAGCATGGTTTCAACAAGGACTACCACTTAGAACTCAGGGGACAGTGGCTGAAACGACACTGCTGTTACCCACTAACCGCTCGACGACAAGAATGTCCTCGTAATCGCCTTACAAGACCCTGAAAGACAAGATGGAGTTTGGAAACAACCCCCCCCGAGAACCACAGACTTGGACAACTCCGAGAGTTATGGTTGCCCACGGAGAGAGCATCAAGTAAATGGCCACCCGGCATGTCCACATTGCACGGCGAAGGAAGTATCAAAAACCAATGGAGCAAACGATATGAAAAGAACCGATCTATCTATCCTATCCATGACATCGTCGTATATCCTATGCGGCCGTCGGTACACATCAATCATCCATGATTCCGGGAGCATACATCAACGCATTAGAGACTCATGAGCGTTCCCACCACCACCACCACAAGACAAGAAGAGCGGGACCGATGGATGAAAACGGAGTCAGCCAAACCAGAACCGCCTCCATCCACCCGCCCACGCCACACAGCCATACATGTAGCCCATCCACCACCACTCCATCAAAAATCATCGATCATGGTCCATACATACCCACAAACAAGCCAAGTCATAGGCGTCAGCCAGCCAGTCAGTCATGTCATGCCACACCCCCAACCTCCACCTCTATCCCCTTCCATCTCCATTCAACACCCATCACGTCCCAGTACCTCATCCAACTCACATCCCCTCACTCCCGAATAACCTCGGCAATCCCGGCCCCCGCCGCCGCACTAGTATCCTCCTTCTTCCCAAACGCGCTCGTCGCCCAACCAACCCAGCTCTGACGGCGCGCGGCATTGGCCGCGGCCGTAGCCTCGACATTCTCCTGGACCAGCCTCAGCGGGCGGGGCTTGTTGCCGGCAAAGGTGGTGCTGTTCTTCTCGTGGTGGACAGAGCGCGGGGGGCTGGCCTGGCTGGGCGGGGTGCTGAGGCCGTCGGCGCCGCCGGTGGTGGTGGAGAAGGAGACCGAGTCGCCGCTGGTGCTGCTCGTCTCCGACTTCATGCCGGGGAAGTTGCCGCCGCCGCCGCCGCTGCTGTTGCGGTTGCCGGCGCCTTGCGGGAGGAAGAAGTTCTGGCTGGAGCGGAGCGAGGGGGAGAGCGGGCCGTCTGAGGAGGAGGGGCCCTTGTACATGGCGTTGACGATGCTGGCGGCGCCGGGGAGGTTGGTGTATTGGTCGCTCATGGGCCTGCTGCGGCGGGTGCTGGTCGTGCGGGACAGGCCGATGGGAATGCTGGGCGCCGTGTCCGGGTTGCTGAGAGCCGAGGGCAGGTTGGCGGACGGCATGAAGGTCATGGGGCGGGGCTTGGGCCTAGGGGCTGCGGTGCTGGCGCTGCCGATGGCCATGGACTTGGCGCGCTGGAGGAGGGAGGCGCCCGAGGCGGTGGGCTTGGGGGGAGGCGGTGGCGGGAGGTCCTTGTCGGTGTCTGGCGCGCCTTTGAAGTCGTTGGATTGGTCGAGAATGTGCTCGAAGCCTCGGTGTTCCAACAGCCGCTCAATGATCTTGTTGATGTAGAGAGTTAGGGCCTTGTTCTGATCCTTCACCTTGTTCAACTCCGCCTCCAGGAGCCTTTGCTCGGGGTCGTGTTCCGGGGCATGGTCGTCGTTGACGCCCGAAAGTTCGTCGGCGAGACTGGTGCCGCTGGCCCGTCCCTCGAGCGCAGCGAGTGCATCTTGGTTCGCCGACGCGGCCGAATAGCTGAAGTCGTTGGTGGCGAAATCCCCCTTGAGAGTCCTATCCTGGAGCAGAAGTTGGTAGCTCTCATTGTCTTCCATCAACCTCGCATTGGCGACGCGCGCTTCCATAAGCTGGCGCTCAACATCCTGCAACCGACCGCCGTCCTTGTTTTGCGACTCGACCAGCTTGAGCTGCGCCTCGGCAAGCTCGAGCCTCAGCGACTCGATCACCTTATCCTTTTGCAACAGGAGCTTGGAGTTGTTGCGGGAGTCGCTGCGCTGGATCGAGCTCGGGGGAGCGAAACTGCCGTTGTCGATGCTTGGCGAGCTGTTCACCGCTATTCAGACGAACTCAAGTCAGTGACTGTCGCTAGGAGCAAGAGCCGTGGAGAAAACACGTACATTGTCTTGTTGGTCGGTCCTCGTCGAGGTTCCTCTGTGCCAGACTGTCCTTGAGTCTCTGGATGACGGTTTGCATCTCCTCCTCGCGGTTGGCCATGTCGTCCTTCTCCTTCATCATGGCGCTCCGCTCCCCCTCGTAAATGGTCTCCATTTCCCGCATCTGCCGCGCGGCCTCGCGCTTCTCGTTCCTGAGGGATTCAATCTGCTCATCGCTCTCGTGAACCTTCTCTTCCAACTTGGCTTGCTCCTTCATCGCATCGTCCAACTTGTTCTGCATCACCTCGGTCTGTCGCTTGTAGGACTCGAACCCGGACTCGGCCTTGGCCAGCCGCTCCTTGAGGTCGTCTATTATGGCTACCGTCTCGGCGCGAATGGCCTCTTCGCGGTCGATGTCCGGCGAGTTAGTGCCCCTGCCGTTCATTGTAGGGCCGTTGCTCAGCATCGACTCGCGTCTCTGGTGGGCGGCCGCGCGTGCCGAGACGGGAGTTCCAGTGCGGGTCGAGCGAGTCCGCGCAACGCCAGCGGCGCCTGGACTACCGGCCGACGTCGGTGTCGAAGCTCTCTGACCCGGTCGTTGGGGCGTTCCTGTGGGGGTCTCGCGGCCTGTTGCCGGGGGCTTCTTGACAGCGCTCGCCATGGTAGGAGTTAGGTGCCGCTGGGCGATAATCGGGACCCCTGGGCTCGCAAAAACCGCACGATGCGGTCAAGGCAACTGAATCACGGTATCGAATGTTACTCTGGACAGCCAACTCAAAAAATTGCGTTGCGTATGGTGTTTGTGTGTCTGTGTTTTGTGTAGGACGACGGTTCGAGGACGGGAAACGGCGGTCTTCGGAAGGACGCAGAAACGCGGAGGATATTTGCTGGCCCACTGCAACCTTTCTCGACCGGGGCGGCAGGGCGTCGATGGGTGCGGTGGTGGCTCTTTTGGAGCCAGTGGCGGTCTCATGGCAGGGGAAACGTGTGCTGTGAGACAAGGGAGTGCCTGTCCAATCAAGGTCATTTGCTGTCAGGCCCCTTTCTCCCCCTCGTCCCCTCCCCAACCTTCCAGGGATGTTGCCCGAGGCCCTGGGGCCCTGAGGCCCTGGAGGTTTCTTTGTAGGACGAGCGGCAAAGCGACAAGCAAAACGGCCTTTCTTGTCTGCGCTTAACTAACTAGCACTGTACATAGTATGGTACCTGTTGTCTTTTCTCGATTTTGAGCCAAGTTGCAGACAATCAACAGAGATTGTACTCAGCTATCATGGAATGCGTTTGTCTACAAAGTAAACCATCATCTCCCCCGCCTGTTTCACCGCCAAGACCCACCGACCTCCAGTGTTTAGGGAGCCTGGGAGCTAACTGCATGCATGGATGGTCATGCAGAATCGGCTGCAGCAACTGTCCTTTGACCGCTCTCTGAACCGAGGAATCTCCAGGTCGCACTGATCCCTCGAATGCTGCTTCGATGTCCGGAGATGGACAGAGGCGTCTCGGCGGTTTGCCGAAACGAGCAGCTTCCCTCGCGCATCATGCAGCCAGCCTGGATCAACGTACCGAAGTATACGTATGTACAAGGTCGATCTTCCCTGCGTAGTGCGAGCAACTTGAAACATACACCGTACAGATGGCATACCTACACAGTACCTACATGAAGAGGGCTTGCGAGTCGGTGGTGCACTTTTTGGCAACCTCGAGTTCCGCTCGAGTTTGATTATGGTAATTTGGGATTCAATGCAACACCCGGCCCGGGATACGGGAACACGGCCCAAATCGGTTGCTGGGCCGCGCATGGAGCACCCCTCCTCAGCAGGTCGTCGCGTGCTTCTAGAACACGTCACAAACCTGACGACACTTGCCATCGAACCAACCGAGAGCTAAGGGAGTTATGTGTAGGCCGTCCGGATTCAGCGATAACCGGCTAGTCCGCCCGGTTGTTGGCCGGACAGCCCTCGATTTCAAAATCACAAACAACCATCCAAGGCTTCAAAACCGCGTTGTCATAAACTACGACTAATCTACAGAGTGCCTCTTGCGGTGCAAACTCCGGATGTCGAATGTGGCCGTAAAAGGCCGGATATCGCCAAGTCGTCATATCATTTTTCCCGATTTCAGACCCGAACGCCGTATGAATGCCAACCGGTATTCCCGTCTCGCCGCTAGACCTAAGCCTGGTCGCTAAGGATGTCACTGTCACCAGCATCCAGGATAGCCATGGTGGAGCAGCGGAAGAGCTTGCCGCAGGCGGTGCCGAGCTCAATCTGTCGAGGGGAAGAGTAAGCATACGAACAGGTACCCTCCAAAGTCTGCCACGAGACTTCTTCTCTGGGTAGGCTGGAAAGATGGGGGGTTTCCAGCCGGGAATAACGAGTCGAAGCCTATGCCAACAAATTCGTGGAATCTCGTCTCTCATGGGGGGATAACTCACGTTGGTGCCGGTGTAGTGGTGGACGGCGGTCTTGGACATCATGGCGTAGCTGTTCGACAAGTTAGCGAACAAGCCCTCGTTGATATTTCGCTTGCCAAGTGTCCGGGAGAATCGAAGCGCATGTAGACAGGTCGGCAAGGTTTGTTGCCTTCAAAACCGTCGCCGCACGCGCCTCATCCATTCCCTTCCATCTTGCAACATTGGTCGCCACATACTACTCAAGCTCGGACTTGCGGAGGGGAGGCGTGTTGGCCTGCGGATCGGTCAGCATTGGAAGTGACTCATAATCGGAGATATGGGAGCACATACGGAGATGAGGATGAGCTTGGCCTTGCCGCTGCGAAGAGCCTTCAAGGTGCTGCGGTAGCCCAGCACAACCTTGCCCGACTTGATGACGAGGGCAAGCTGCTCAAGTTGTTAGCGACGGAGCCTCCAACCGCTGACATTCGAAACGGACCTTGCTGCCGATGGACTGGGCTTCCGACTTGTTCTTCTTGGGGGCCATTGTGACGGTACTGTGGTTAGTGAGAGGATCAAGAGTTGAAGATGGCTCCTGGTGGTGATGTCCTCGTCGTTGGCTGAATGGTCACTCGAAAGAAGGAAAACCGCGATTTCGAAATATTCTTTTGCCAATGTGGAATTCCCGCCACAGAGTGGGCTGAGTTCTCATTGGCTGAGTAATGGGTGCGCTTGCAGCTCCTCGAAACCCTAACGGCTCCACTCTGTTCCGAACGACTCATCCGGGGCGATTATGAATCCGGGATTGGTAATCGTGAGGCGAATTTCGATTTGGTCAAAAACGCAGCGGCCCCCCAACCATTCCCCTCACCCAACACCAAGTCGACACCCATAATCGTGACATCACAGTAAATCAGTCACAATGGCGCGCCGACCCGCTCGTTGCTATCGGTACTGCAAGAACAAGGTAAGCGTCCCGCAAATTTTGCTTCCCAAGTGCGGTCCGAGAGGCATTCGCGCACATTCCCGTCGGGGAGGAAATGGGCAAGGGCTGGGCGAAGAAACAGGCGAACGGATGGACCGGAAAGCCTGGATTATATCGGGAAGAGGAGGGTTTCCCGCTCAACACTTGATTTGGACGATTTTACCAACCCAGATCGCTAATCGGCCCTCTTTTCTAGCCGTACCCTAAGTCGCGGTTCAACCGTGGTGTGCCGGACCCCAAGATTCGCATTTTCGATCTCGGCCGCAAGCGTGCCACCGTCGATGACTTCCCGCTCTGCATCCACCTTGTGTCCAACGAGTATGAGCAGCTGAGCTCCGAGGCCCTCGAGGCCGCCCGTATTTGCGCCAACAAGTACCTCGTCAAGACGGCCGGTAAGGAAGGTTTCCACCTCCGCGTCCGCGCCCACCCGTACCACGTCGTCCGTATCAACAAGATGTTGTCTTGCGCCGGTGCCGATAGACTGCAAACTGGTATGCGTGGTGCTTGGGGTAAGCCCAACGGCACTGTCGCCCGCGTCAACATTGGCCAGATTCTCATGAGCGTCCGCACTCGTGACACTAGTAAGTAATACCGAACATCACTGCGAACTACTCGGAAAACTAACTCGTTCCAGACCGCGCCTTTGCCCTCGAGGCCCTCCGCCGCTCCCAGTACAAGTTCCCTGGCCGCCAAAAGATCATTATCTCCAAGAACTGGGGTTTCACCCCTCTCCGTCGTGAAGAGTACCTGGAGAAGAAGGCCGCTGGCCGCGTCAAGGTCGACGGTGCCTACGTCCAGTTCCTCAGCAACCGCGGCAACCTCGAGAACAACATGAAGCGCTTCCCGGATGCCTTCACCGCCTAAGTGTTTTCGTGGGGTGACGGGGAATGGTTATTTGGCTTCGGGGTGGCGTCAATGGTCATTTTAGGGCTGAAATGAGAGCATGTCAACTAGCATCATGGTCTTGATTCGGCATAGCAGTCAATGGAACCATTCAACCAAAGTGGTTCTCAATGGACAACGGGATATCGGTGCATTATTCTGCGGTTCTTCTCAACTTTTGCGTGATCTCATCGCATCTTGCGTGGCAGATGTTGCGTGCTGCCTCCTTACTAAACAACAGCTGCGGCGGGCAGACAAGGCCTTTGACGGGCCAAGACGCGTCTATCTTTCTGCAGCGGAAGGCAAACACTCATTCCCTGGCAGCCGATAGCCAAAGCTGGCGCGGCGCCGTCCTCAAGCCAATACCTTCGTTAGACATGGAGCCGCTTCGCTGGCGCCCGTCAAGCAAGCGCTTGCAGCAGCGGCTTGCACTGCGCTTCTCCATTGGCTCATGTGAAGCGACGCGGGGCTGTCGGGACGCCGAAATGTTGCAGCCCAAACTCTGATTAACCCCTGCAGGCCAGCATCGACTCTGCATCGTCAATTGTGATTCTGTCTGAGGCTGTCTGGTTACGCAACTTTCTATTCCATCTTTGCACTGGTATGACACGGGTTTCACCATACCTAGCTACCTAAGCTGAGAATCCGACGCCATTTGCCGTAGAACCGGAGACATGTCAGGCGCCGAGGTCATTGGCGTCATCTCCGGCATCATCGCCATTGTCGACGCGACCATAAAGATCTACAGCGCCGCCAACGATGCCTCTGGCCTCCCAGAGGCCTTCCGCGATGTAGCCTTACGACTCCCACTCGTCAGCAAAACCCTCCAGACTATCTCAGAGAACAATATCACCCCCGACGAGGAGTGGCGCAAGGCGATGAAGCCTGTCTTGTAGCGCTATAAGGACAAGACAGAACAACTTGGGAAAATATTTAAGGACGTCGTCCCACAAGCTGGAGCTTCGAGAATGGAACGATACGCACTTGCCGCTCGCACCTGGAGCAAAGGAGACACGGTGGAGTCGCTGATGAAGGGGATATTGGAGGATCTTCAACTTTTGACCAGCAACCGCGTAGCGGAACTGCCCACACAGACTAGTGTCGCGGCGGTGATACAGCAGCGATTTTGCCCTCGTTGCCAAACGGTATTCTTCTCCCAGACCGATGTTGAAAACAACTCTCTAACCCTGAACAGGCATTCTCCCATCCACTACCCCTGAAAACGAACGAGACTCCCTCCTCAAGGAGCTCAAGTGGACCGATCCCACTCTCGACAAGCTAAGGATTGAAAGAACCAAAGGTGGCCTGTACGAAGCTTCGTCCAGCTGGATTCTCTCCCACCCCAGTTACCAGAAGTGGCGGGACGGGGAAAGCAAGCTGCTCTGGATCAAGGGCGGTGCCGGCAAGGGCAAGACGATGCTGTTGGCCGCCATCACCGGGCAACTTCGATCCCAGACCAGACTTGACAACCCCGTTGCCACCTCGTCTGTGTCGTTCTTCTTCTGCCAGAATACCGATGACCGCTTAAACAACGCAGTCGCCGTCCTAAAAGGTCTTATATATCTCTTGCTGCTCCAGGAAGTCAGTCTCGCTCCGTACCTCAAGTGTGAGTACGACCGGATGGGTAGAGACATCTTTGATGTCACCAACAACAACGCCAACGCCTTCGACGCGCTGTCCAAGGTGTTCAGGCAGATGATCCAGCACTCACGGTCGGATTTTGTGTACTTGGCTGTTGACGCTCTCGATGAATGTGAAGACGGTCTGCTGGACCTCCTTGGCCTGGTCAAGGAAACCGCCCTCCAAGAAAATCGTCTTAAGTGGATTCTAACGAGCCGCAACCGGGTCGACATCGACGAAAACCTCGCACTTGAAAGTCCGGGAGCGAAGTTGAGCCTGGAGGTGAACTCGGAAGCCGTGTCTCATGCGATCGAGAATTACACCATTCACAAGGTAGCCCAAGTCCCATCACTTCGATCCAACCCTATCCAGCAAGCCATAATTCGACAAAACCTGCTCGAGAAGGCTGAAGGCACCTTTTTATGGGTCGATCTAGTCTTGCGATCTCTCCATACTGTCTTGGCTGACGATGCTGTCCGTCGTGTCGACGAGATGCCGCCAGGCCTGCCAATGCTTTACGATCGGATGATGGGAGATTTTGGCAAGTCTACGAGCGACTACCGAGACTCGTGTCTTGCTGTGCTTTCAGTCGCAACTTTGGCGTACCGCCCGCTCCACATTCTCGAGCTCCGAACGATAGCTGGGCTCAGCTATGAAACCGCTGATCTGGAGAAGATTGTCGACATGTGCGGTTCCTTTCTCACGGTGGTGGACAGCTACGTCTATCCGATTTACCAATCGGCCAAAGACTACCTAGTCAGTGACGCCGCCATCGATAATATTTTCCCGTCTGGGAAAGACGCTGTTCAACGCAGCATCGTCGACATATCAGTAGTGGCGATGGAGAAGACATTCCGGCGAGATGTATATCAGCTGGTGCATCCAGGAACACTCACCCGTGACGTGTAGGCACGGCCACCCACGTTTGATCCTTTGCTCGGAGTGGGATACTCTTGTACATACTGGATTGACCACGTTTGTGAAACGGATGAGGCCGACTTGCAGGGCTCCCAACGCTACCGGTTAGCAAACGCTTTCAGACGGCGTATCACAGGATCAAAGAAGAGTATTCGAATAAGAGATTTGATTCAGGCATTCTTTCAAGAACATTTCCTGCACTGGCTTGAAGCGTTGAGTCTCCTGGGGGTAGTCTCGAATGCAGTTCTCTCTCTTTATAGGCTTAGAACTATTGTCGAAGTAAGTTCCGAATTCTTGCGATTTCGAACGACAGATAACTAAGTCGCCAGCTTCGGCAAGGATGGGCGCTTATGCCAATCTTGTCGAAGACGCATATCTGTTTATTTCACGGAACCAGCGGCCTATCGAACAGGCACCACTACAAACATACGTATCGGCATTGCTCTTTTCTCCGCCTAACAGTATCATCCGTCGAACGTTTGCCAAGGAAGAGCCTGGTTGGGTGCTTATAAAACCGGTAGTTGAGAAAATCTGGAGTCATTATCTTCAAACGCTTAAGGGCCACAGCCATTCGGTTTGGTCAGTAGCATTCTCCTCGGACGGCAGCCAAATCGCATCTGGATCAGAGGCTCGTACCATCCGTATCTGGGATACGAAGTCAGGCAAGGAGGTCTAGAAGCTTAAGGGCCATAGCGATTCGGTTTGCTCCGTAACATTCTCTTCGGATGGTAGCCAAATCGCATCTGGGTCAGATGATTATACTATCCGTATCTGGGATGCGAAGTTGGGCAAGGAGATCTGGAAACTCGAGGGCCATAGCGGCTCGGTTTTCTCAGTAGCATTCTCCGCTGAGGCAGCTGAATCGCATCATCAGATGATCCTACTATCCGTATCTGGGACGCGAAGGTCCGGAAGTTCTGGAGCTACGGTAGTTCGGCAAGCTTCAACCTTCCGGTTACATTAGTAGGATTCTCCCATGACGGCCGCCGAATCGTATCTATATCAGTTGATGGTACTATCCGTCTCTGGGATGTGAAATCGGGCAAGGAGCTCTGGGGTATAGAGTCGTGGTGGCATAGAACCGGTTTACCAAGGTGGCGTCCGAATGACAATAGCCCCGAGTATATCAGGGACAATGGCTCCTGGGGTGTCAGGTGCGATGGCTCCTGGGTTACATGGCGAGGTCGGGTTCTATATGGCTACCGGCTGATTTCAAATGTGGGGAATCAATCGTTTCCCCGGATGGGTTGACAATTGCTTTCGGCCTTCGGACGGGGCGTGTGGTGGTTTTTAGAATGTCCATGGACGTGTCATTCCTCTAGACATTCTAGCGCGTGTCCATCTTCCTCTATGTTAGCATTTTCATCTAGCCTGGGTACCTACGTAATACATCTCGAGGTTCTTCTAATTCATCGCTAATCCTTTTTTCTTTTTTCTTCTTCTTTCTTCTTCTTGTAACGGTCTCAGGAGTGTATTTGCAACTATCTGATGACGACTCTACGAGTATAACTAAGCTTAGAGAAGGAAAGGAAAAGAAGGGAAAATGGCTCACGCGTCGCGTTGACCTTCTTCTGTCCAGATGGAGACACGAAGTGTAAAAAGGGGTAAGCGTAATGGGGTTGTTGATAGGACTGTCGATGGGGTCGTTGACCTGGCGATGTTCTACCGGGGGTTAGGGTTAGCCGAGGGTCACCGAGGCCTCTGCAGGGCTCAGCCCGTTACACTTCTTCTTCTTTTTTTCTTTTTTTTTGGCTTGCTTAACACCAGAAGAGTCTGAGAGGACAAGTCCATTTCTCGTAGATGGTTACCTATCATCAGAACGGCAAGTGATAGAGTACTGTATGTATAGGTACTACATATAGGGCTGTTGCAACGAATTGTGGAAACAATCATCCGTGCGAGAGGAGCCACTTCGAACGATGACTCTATCCAGCCATCCTGAGCTAAGGAGCTGACGACCGGGTGATTAGATGGTATAATTGTATCGTTCGACGATTTCGAAAAAGGACTCGAGCAGATGTGAGGTCCCATGGTGTGGATGGTTGGATGCATAAGTGGCTGATGATAGAGACAATGCGGAAGCTGATTTCGCTCGCGACTGTCTGTACCAAAGCCACGGCGCCGCTTGCCCAAAATCGTGTGACTAGGTAGCTTGGCCGTAAGTATGCAAAGCACTCCCCTCGAAGATCTCTCAACTGTCGGTTTGGTCTTGGTTGTCGAAACTTGGCTGATCTCAGGACACGCCGCTGTGATAAGGTAATGAATACAGTCGGGTCACATCATGGAAGGTGGCGTCGTGGAGTGGGGCCGCTTTGGGATGAAGCTTGAGCCAACACCACATCATCAATCACACTTATGAGGCACTGTACTCCGGTACCGGAGGTGAAAAAAGGTGAGTAGAAAAGAAGGAACAAAAATTGGCTGCCCGTTACGAATACAGAAAGTTTACTTCTTACCACGACCAGAGGACGCCAGAGCTAGAGATGTGGATAGAACGACGATGGGGCTGGAAGGGTCAGGCGATGGTGGGGCTAAACAAACAGGGCTCTCGACCAAGCACAACGCTTGCATCCCGTGTATCCCCTCCACCCGCGTGCTTCTGGGAGCTTGGCCCAGAGCCGCCCCCGCCCCCAACAAACCACCCAGCTGGCCGTTCTAGGGTCTTTCCTATCCATTTTAATGTTTAGATACTCGTCTCATTTACATATCCAAAATCGGTTATATCTTGTCCTGAGATTACTTTTTCTCGGCCGTCGCGACTAATCCCGCGCCTTTTGTGCCGAGTGGGTTACACGACGCCGCAGTCAGCGCCCTGCTGCAGCCGGGGCTGAAGTCTGATATCATCCCGTCATCCACATCTTTGGTTCCCGGGTCATTGTCCTGTCCCACTTCTTAGGTCGAGATCCTGGCTCGATCCCTTCACCGCCTCAGAGAAACTCGCGACTCAGGGCAATTAAGCCCTTAGAGACAACTGCGCTGGCGGCCGCCTTCCCAGGGACCCAGCGACGTGGCTACTGTTGCGACTTGTCGATAACGTTACCTCAGATAACACTAACTTGACGTTTTCAACCAACGGCTTTTCAGGGCTGCTCTTGCCCTCTCGACTAATACCACCACTTGCAAAGAGTCTAGGACATGCGCGATGGCTTTCCAACAATCGACACGGCAGCCCGTCCAGCGGTTGGACCGTACCGAACCGGGGCATGTTGAGCCTGCAGCTGTCGATCCACAGGACCGCCCAACACCCAACGAGTTTCAGAAATGGGTTGTCTTTACTCCGGGAACTGACGCCGGAACTACATCCTCTTACCTAAATACAACTCAAGACGACCAAGTAACGCCGGGCAGGTCAAGGATCAGTGACCTCGGCAGCCTAGATACAGTTGCGCGCTCCGAGTTCGATCTACAAGCCGCTTCAGAGGTTATATCTGGGAGCGTTGCCGAGGAGGACGCGGAGCTCGACAGTCTCGACAGCCATCTACCAGAGTTCCGAATTGTTCCAAGCCCCTACAACCAACCCGAGGTGGCACATGCCGCACCGGTGCTCCCAGGGCATGACGGCCTGGGCTCTTTCCGATTCGAGACCCCAGGCATGAGCGCCGAGGCTCAAGACCGAATGTACGCCTTCGAGAGATTCAACCCCAACCGTGTGGGGCACCGATCCGAGGGTTTCAACCTGGCTCAGCTGGAGACCCAGACGGAAGAGGCACAAGACTGGGAGCGAAACCACCGGATAGAGGCCTGGCGGCTAGAACAGAGCCAGCTGCTTCTCGAAGACATCCGAAACGAGACGAGGAAGAGGCAACAGTCTGAGGAATCGCTTCGCGATATCCCGCACACAAAAAGCATGAAACCAGAGGTGGCCGAAAGGAGTGTCGCAGACGACGAGGCGGCAGATATCAACCTGAGCGGAGCGGATTGGCATGACCAGGATGAGCCAACTCGGAGCGGGGCAAAACCCGGCTCATGGAGCCAAATGGCGCGGAAGTTCATCCGTGACATGATGGGGGTCGATGACGAGCTGCTCGCGGTGCTCTTTGGGGATGCTGTTCCGGACGAGGAGATGCTCTCGTCGCCACCCCAGGCATCCGCCACGGGAGCCTTCGCCCCCGCACCGGGCCGCACCGGGTCGGAGTCATCGCATGACTCTGAGTGGCAGCTGCGCATGCTGGACCGGATATCTAGAGAGCTTGGCGCGCTTGTGCACCAATTGTCGACTCACCCTGGTGCCTTCTCGACTTACACACGGGTGCAGCACATGGCCCTGCCGTATGCCGGCTTGCCTGTCATTCCCGAAACGCCTGGCGATGTGAGCGATTCCGGGCGGAAGATGGAAAGTAGCGTTCAGTCCATGCCGCAGTTTAAGCCCACCGTAGGTCGGCCGGCCGACGTTTTGAGTGCGCGGCCCTCGGAGCCCCCCACACCCTCGGGCCCATCTGCTTCCGACATGAATCCGAGTGACACTCAACACACTTTCACACAGCAAGAATGGGAACAGGATCTTGACGTCCGGCTGGTCTTCCGGTACCTGCGGTCCCGTTTCACCTCGTCCCGGCAAGCATCGCCGTCCTTCTCGTCGGGTACCTCACATCTCGCCACCTCTAGCGCGCAGGATACGGCGGCAAAAGCGGCGCGAGTGCGTCAGCACCACCCCCTTGTGTCCCACGCGCACACGCACGCGCACGCACATGGGTACCACCGAACCCGCCCGGTCGAGCGGCGCACTTTCAAGGCGACGGTGCCGCCCAGCCCCGTGGCAATCCGACACCCACCCGGGAGCTGTGCGAGCCAGAGCACCCGGCGGTCTGCGCGGAGGAGCAGCATCTCGTCGAGACCGTCGTCCCGCCACTACTGGGATATTGGCGGGTCCATCAAAACGGGGAGCGCTATCGCGAGCACCGGGCCGATGGGAAGCTGGGGCGAGGTCTGAACGGTGATGCGCTAGCCAGTCATCATTGCAAGGGGCTCACCGCCGTGAACCGTTGTATTTTACTTTTCTACTTCTCACACTCTTTTCTCGCGTGGTATCGGGATTGCAAAGGGAAGGATTGGGCGCTCTGAATGACGGGAGATATGGAAACATGGGGAAACATGGGAAAACATGGTTGCATTCATTGCATTTAGATACCACAAGAGGTAGATCTCGAAACACAAGATGCATTTACACCCTGGACATCCAGCCCCGGATATTCGCCTTGCGCTTTTACTGGACGAGGTCGACCCCGGATTTTCGTGGTTGCGCCGAGACCTGGATTAAAACTATAACTCTTCGTACATATCAGCGCATTCATTTCGTCCGCCCTGCTCTTGTCGCAGTTTGTGCTGCAGGAATAGCTTTTTGTTGGCCATACAAACCGTCCGCCTCGGATATAACAAGTACATGCTACTTGTGCCGGGGGAGTTCACACCAGAACAGATCCGTACCAGAATGACACTCTGATGCCATCGCCCCATGTCGAGTAACGCTCACGGCTGCAAGTCACCGCTGGGGGCGGCTCTGAGGGAGCTTGGGGAGCAAGGAAAGCGGCGTCGCTTGCGTGAAAAGAACGGTGAAGCCGCTCACCACGGTACCTCTCCACTTTACGCGTAGCGACGCGACAAGCTTGCAGGGATCTAAAGTGGTCTTCGTGCCAATCAGACAAGTCCAGTGTGACAACGAATCGAAACAGACAGGGGCCCTGCAACCAATTCCGTTGCGGCCCGCCCGGACCACCTTGGCCCTGACGCGTTGCGAAGAGCAGGGGACCAATGGCTGCGCGATTGAGCAGCTCCCGCAAGGCCCCAGGCACAACAAAAGACAGCCAGACAGAGCTGCAGTCGGGCCTGAGGATGGCACGAAGTGACCCTGGTTCTGCCTCGCTTCAGTGGTATCTTATCTTTTCGGACATAACACCCATGGATCCCTGTCCCTTTCGATGCATGCTCGAGTCACTCGTTCCCTCTGATGCCGCGATGCAACTCCGCAGTTTGACAGGGATGAGAGCTCCGCAATTCCTCCTTCTGGCTTGGGGCTTCAGCCAAAGCAGCTGGTGCCCGCACACACCCACCCTGCCACCCCGCCTTGCATTTCCCTGCGCACCGCACCGAACCTGATTCTCCCGACCTGGATCCGATGCTTGTGAAGTTGCGACACCTCCCGAACGCCAATGCTGCCTTGCGCCTCACTTTATTTTTGCGACTTGCGATCAGCTTCCATCTGATGCGCCTATGCAATTTCTGAGTCAAATCTCCCAACCAGACGCCTTATTTTATTCGATATATATAAAAGAGTTCGTCCCGCGCCTTTTCTGCCTAGCTATCCCACCTCTTCCCTCGGTGTGGGTGTGCGAGAGCTTCCCGTCCCGCATTGCTCCGCGCACCGCTCTCTCCCGCTTCCCGAGCTTCGGCTGGGTTGCGACAACTAACGTATCTTGAGGCTAACTGATTCTATGAAGCACCATGTGTTAAAGCCGCCGTGCTTTCGTCGCGAACCAGCTGACTTGGCGCTGGGTCGCACCGGAACCCTCCCTATTCTGCGATCCTGCCCCTCGCCGCCGTCGCCGTTCGAAACACCCCGACCCGACTCTAAGCTCCCCTCCGTCCGACCTCATCTTTTTTCGAGTCTTCCCTCTAGCACATCAGTTCCAAGAGATGGTTTCCCGAGGCCCCAATGGCTGCTACACCCTTTGACATCCCCACGCCGGGCAGCGCATACGCTTTCGATATCTACAATGACGCCCACGCGCTGCGGGCGCCAGGGCCGGCGCTTCCGGGCGGGCCTTGCAACTACACAGACCCGACCCTCCCGCGCTGTGGCTGCCGCCGGTTCTGGAGTCGCGCATCCCTCAGCGGTGGTGTTTTCCAGGAGAATGGCGCGCTCGCTGAGCTTTGCATGTGTTCGCACCATGCGTGCTTCCACGAGGACACCCAGCCCGGACAGACACAACCATCGGCCGCGGTTAACGCCCCAGGACAGGAAAACCAAAAGCCCGTGACTCACCGGGCGCCATTGAGCCCGGTCCAGCTTCCCTCGTTCCATGTGCCGGGGAGCCGGTCGTCGCTGGATTTCACCCTGCTGGACTTTCAGACCTCCATGTCTGCCCCACGGATGGAGGCCGTCAACCCTGCCCCAGCTGCGGATTCCCACCCCGGACAGGACAGCCCAATGCCGGATACGTTTAATAACTGGGGAGACCTGGCTCGATCCCAAGCCGGACTTGCCAATGGACTGCCGCCGTTTCCTTCCCAATGCCTAATGTCGCCGCCGCCGCCACCATCGACCGTAGCGTCGAGTCAAGCAAGGTATCTCCGTCCGTTTGCTGGGCGCGGGCTACATACACTAAGTGGTGTCCCTGTCCCAAGGCCAGAGTCGCGCCAGCTGGAACATATTAATCCGGACGACGATGCTGAGCCAGGACAGGATGCAGGACCTGATGCAACAGATTCCGCTTCCACTCCCAAGGCACTGCCATCACAGGACCGTTCGGTAGCAGGACCCGATGGTGGTTACCAAAAGCTTTCAGACAAGGTCGACACACACGAACAGCGGCTCGACAGGCTCGAAACCAACTCCTTCTCCATTGCTGGCCACGAGGACTGCCACGACAGGCACGAAAACGTCGATCTTCGCGTCACCGAACTCGAATCACGGGTCGACGAGGTAGAAAAGATCCTCAACGACAACGGCAGCGTTGTGAGCAGCAGGCGGACGGCCAAGCAGGACGGCGGCGCCGACGACGCAACGGCCAGCGTCGTCTCCGTCTCGACCAACGCCACCGTGCTCGCCTCGAACCGCGTAGAGGTGTACAGCCAGTTGCAGCAGCTCCAAGCGCAGGTCAGCCAGCTCCAGGCAGCAGCGATGCCGTCATACGCAAAGCCCTGGGCGCTCGAGGTCGTGTTCCTGCCGTTCCCGCTCAAGGGCGTCTGGCTCACCTCGAAGGAGTTTACCAACCAGCGCCGGTCCATAGGTTCCAATTTTGAGGGCTGGACACAGATGCCTAATACCATCAGCCGAGCGACGCCAGATCCGCAGTCACCCAAGTTCCAGGAATGGGCTGGACAGGGGCCCGAGTCAAATTGGCTTTTGCCGAGGGCGTTCGCTGCGGGGCGGGTCGTTGAGCAGAGGTTGAAGAGCCGGGGTTTGATTAAGACGGTTCATGTTCGGGGAGCAGACGCCCGGAGTGTCCAGCTCGCGATCCACGATGCCTTTCAAGACGTTCTGCGCATCTCGACCAGCTCGGACGCGCGGTCAGGATTCGCGCCTGATTATCCCTTGGCTGAGTACCTCGGCCTGCGGCAGGCTTGGGTGCCCCTGCGCAAGCTCCACAAAGACTCACGGCTGCGGTTTCTCTCGCCTGCTGAGATGGCGACGCCGGCGCTCTGGGACTTCACGTTTCTCGTGTCTAGCGTGGTCATGAAGGCTACCGGAGTTCAGCGCCTCTACATCACCCAGCCCGAGGCATACCTCCAGGACCACCCTCTCGGGCACCACGCCCTTGAAACAGGCTGGACTTGGCAAAAGCTGCGCCAGCTGAGCAGGGTCTACCCCGACTCGCAGAGCAGTGCAGATGTGCCCGAGGCTGACGCCCTTGAGGAGTGCTGGAACTGGAACGACCGGCTCGACGAGTCGCCGAGCGTGGCTGCTTCGTCCGTGAGCCTCCGCCAGTCGATCCATCAACGTGCCTCGCGCCGCTCATCGACCGAGCCTTCCGGCCAGTTCTACACCGGCGTACAGTCCCCCATTGTCTCCATTGGTGGCCCCGGACCCAGCCGCTCCCGCGCGCCATCCCCACTCATCCAGCGCGAGCGCAAGGGCTCCCTCCCACCACACCTCCGCACCGGCTCCCTCCCACCCACGCATCCGGCCCTTCTCTCGCCCGCCCAATCCCGCCGCCGCCCCTCCCACGCCGCCGCCAGCGCAACGCCCTACGAGCGTCGCTCGTCTCCCTTCGTGCACCGCGCCAGCCCCCGCCCCAGTCCCCGGCTAGGCAGCAGCAGCGCCGCCCTCCACAACCACCCCCACGGCATCGCCATCCCGTCCGCGGGCGCCGTCCCCAAGCGCCGCTTCACACGCTCCCCGAGCCTAGTGCCGCGCAACACCCCGCGCTGGAGCCGGACCAGCATGAGCCGCTCGCCCTCGCTCGCGCCGGGGGGCATCTACGGATACCAGGAGGAGCGGGAGCGCGAGAACAGGGAGCGCCGCACGACCACGCCGTTTTATTACGCCACGCCGCACAGCGAAGCCGTTCCCGACTTTGGCTACCAGCGTGGGGTAAGCCGCGGGCCGGTTCCGCCTGCTGTCGGTGGGAATCATGGCTTGCGCATGGGCGGGTATGATGATGAGCTTGGGGATGCGGAGTACGGGGACGAGGAGATGGATGATTTCACGACCGGGAGCGAGACGGGCACCGGTGACGACGATGAAGAAGCAGGCGATAGCGAGATGACCGACCACCACCACCCCCACCATCCCAACCAACGCGGATATTACCAGAGCACCCACCACGGGGGTAGCAGCGCCCGACGGCAAATCGGAACAGGGTCCTTCGGGTTCGGCACAGACGGCGACGAAGCCGACCTCGACATCGACGTGTACCAAGACGAGGACGAGGACGAGCTCGACGGCGTGGACACGGACGCGGGCAACATCACCGACCACCATAACAACAACCCCCACAAAAAGCAACAACAACAACCGCTTCGTCCAGAAGACATCCCCTGGGCCGGCATCGAAGACGCCATCGCCAACGGCGCCGACCCCGACGGCGACAGCAACATGTCTGACGGCGAAAACATCGACCCCACCACCGCCTCCTCCCAGTCCCAGTCCCAGTCCTTCACCACAGAATCCCAGTCCCAATCCCAGCTGGGCCAACATCACCAACAAGACGATGACGAAGCGGTGCACATTGCCATCCACGAAGATGAGGACCATGACCACCTGCTGCTGGACATGGAGGAGATCCGGGGTCTGGGTCGGGGTCAGGGCCAGGGGGAAAACCAGGGAGAAGGGGAAGGGGAAGAAGATGATGGCGAGGCGAGCAGCCAGGCGCCGAGCGAGTACTCGAGCAAGCCGAGCGCGTGGCAGCTTATTGCGCCGCCGCAGCCGGTGATGCCGGTATCGGTGGTGGGTGTGTCGGGGGAGGGTGGGCAGAAAGGGGTAGGGGTAGGGTTGGTTGGTGGGGGTGTTGGGCAGCAGAATGCGGTGATGGGGTTTAAAATCCATGAGGATGGGACTGCGGGCCCGGGCGTGTCCGCGGGGGAGGGGGGGGAGGAGTTGCTGGATACGCAGTGGGGATGAAGTGAAGAACGCTGCGTTTTATAACTGCCTGGCTATTATTCGTGTGGGTTTCTTTTTGTTGTTTGAAGGGGGGATGGATATTGAAGGCATATACGCGGGCATATACGTTTTGGTTTGGGATTTTTGGGTTATCTTCGGCCGGGGTGGTGGGATTAGCGAGCGAGCGATGCTTTAAACTATCTGGTTGCTTCAAGCGTGGGTGGGTTGGTTGGTTGGTTGGCGTTGGGTTTGCATGGGGTCTGGAGATACCTACTCACTCTCTGCTTACGCTTACGCTGGCTTGTATGGGTACGATGATAGAATTCCCATCTCAGTTTTGAACCGCCGGGCTTGTTCTTCTCGTCGTGCTTGAACACCCTGTGATGAAAAACATGTGTGTCTTTTCCCACAGGCCACCTCCGCCGTGTAGAATTGATGTCTAGATATACCAGCCCACAGTATTCCAGCTCCAAACGCCAGCAACGCCATCATACCCCATGGTATATATCACCACCTCATGAGAAATGAATCCCCTCCTCATGGAAAGCTGCCCAGCCACGTTAGCTCCAACTCGTTTCCCATTAATCACGGGCAAACGTACCAAGCAACATCTTCAAAAAGTCATTCTGATCGCACTGTCGCGCCCGCTTCTCCCCCAAGGCGGTGCTGGTTAGCACCTTATTTACTTTGGCCTTGACCACCAGGGCGACCTTGGACTTGGGGTTCCGGCTCGGCGTCTTGCTGGCCTCCTTGGCGGCGTCAGCATCGTTGAGCTCCTTGAAGAAAGCCGGCATGTCCTCGTCCTCGTCCTCGTCTTCGTCCTGGGCCATGCCGCCCGCGCCGTCCTCCTCCTCTTCACCGTCTTGGTTGTCGTTGTCGTCCATGTCCACGTCCATATCGCCATCCGTGGCGGTCAGCGCTGCGAGATCGTCGGTCGCGATGGACTCGTCGATGGGGATGTTGTGGAGGGAACAGTAGACTTTGTAGTTCTGCTACGGGTGAGTGGGGGTGTGTGAGGGTGGGTAGGAGGGTGGAGACTGACGCGCTCGCACATGGCGAGGACTTCTTTTACACTGAAGGCGGCGCGCAGTGTCTTGTTTTTACGGTTACTGCATTCGTTAGTTAGCAGGTGCGTAGAACGTTGGCGAAGCGAAAGCGCAAGGTACGCACAATGCAATCCGGAGCAGACCGTCGAACTCCTGGGTAAGGGTTAGCCACTATAGAGGTGAGAATTGGGTACTGGATGACATACATCGAAGGCAATATTTGGCCGCGCTGATCCCAGCTGTATGCATGGTTAGTAGATCCCCTGATAGTAGAAGCGTGGCACCATACCAGTGGTTCTATCCTGACAACTTCAAGGGGTCAGTGACCCTTTGCTCCATGGTATTTGTTGGGTCACTTACCGTCGCTTTCAACCTTGGGTGGAGGCTTGAAGTTCTGCTTTCCGACTTTCTAAACGGCGTCAGATTTTCCTCTCTTTCAATCCCATGATCCAGCTTACCATGATGTGTTTGCATGTGGCCCAAAAGTTCACGTTGACGCTCAGCCTCGAGTATAACGCATCACCCGGCTTCGCAACCAGTCTTTTCGCAAACTCTCTTTGGAACTACCCAACAGCCCGCCGTCAGCCCTTTACCCCCCATATTTTACCCCTGGAACACCTACCATGAGCACGGCAACCCGAGGTGGGTTGGGCATGGCTAGCATCTTGAAGATGAGTGGGCTGCTGATCTGGTAGGGTGTGTTGGAAATGAGGGCGTCGCATGGGGGCATCTCGGGCATCTTGATGACGTCTCCCAGAATAACCTCGAGCTTTTTGGCTAGGGGCGTGCCTTGTACGCGCTTCGTGACTTCGGCGCCCATCCTCGGGTCGAGTTCGACTGCACGGGTCAGCTGTTGCTTGGCGTTGGTATTATCGGAATGAGTGTGCCGTACTTGCAATAACCTTTTTTGCCTTATCGAGGGCCCGGACCGTGACTATTGTCAACCATGTCAGTTCTTATGCTCTAAGCTTGGTCAGCCGAAGGCGAGGGCAATGCCTACTGTTGCCGGTACCCGGGCCGACCTCGACGACGACATCGGTGGGCTTGAGGTAGGCCTTGTCGACAATGGCATCGCTGATTCCCGGGTTCTTAAGGATATGCTGGCCGAAGTCCTTGTCGAAGCGGAAGATGTTTGTGTTGGAGGAACTGCCCTTGGACGGTTTGCGGTCATAGGGGCCGTTGCTGGCCCCTCCACGTTTTTGTTTGGCCGCCTTCGGCATGGTAGAACACTTGATATCGAGGGGTGGCCTCGGTGATAATGGTGTGGTAATGGTGTTTCGTCGCTAAACACCAATGAAATGTTCGCTCACCGCATCGCCGCCAATATTTTTTGACCTGGCAGAAAAAAAGACCCGCCAAAAGCGATAAGATAGGGCAGGGTGGGTGGCCAGGATAGGCAATCGACAAGCCACACCGCTTGCCAAGAACCCGAGCCGGAAGAGGCAGCCGATCTCATTGCGGCCCAAAAGTGCGGGTGGGCCCGTCTGTCATTGACCACCCTGTAACTGTGTAGGTATGTATGTACTCCGTAATACCCGACTCGTGTAAATGGTATTACACAGCCCGGGCAGTTGCGCTGAACGGCGACACCGCAGGGCTGCCGCGAATGCCGGGAGCCATGTTAACTACCTACCTGGAACGTTTAAGCTTGCGCCTGCAGATCTACGCTACCAATACAACCTGGCTTTTCTTTCCACCTGAAACGACCATCGACAGAGCTGACGTTGCCTGGGCTGTGTAAGCCCCTGTAATCTGTATTTCAAAGGCCCACCGGCTGCATTCCCCAAAGGGCCAAAAGCATGCGAACTGACGTAACCAGCCGCGTGAGCGTTTGCGGCGTAGCTTGCCGAGCTTGCCCCAGAGGCAGACTTCATCAGATCCATCGACCAGGCCTTCCTCGAACCCCGGTCAATTTGTTGGTTGATCTCCAGTTGAATCCCCAAACCAAAATCCCATCACTGGCGCCGTTACTTTTCTGGGGCTTACACTGATTAAACTTTGCTAATGTGGGGTTGCACCCAATTAATGGTTGGTTGTGTATTTTCCATAATTATTACTTCGTGCCCGAGTTAAATTCAAGAAATTCAAGATTTCCAAGTCGGCAGCAGCAACCTGGGAGTTTAGGCTCGAGGTCTGTTATCCACTTACCCACTAGGTGCATACGGTACATACCTATTCCATCACAGCGAAACATCGGCACAATGTCAATACGCGTCATTCTGGACAAGCCACCCGAATTCTACACCAACCTGGACTTCATCAAGGGTGATGTCGTACTCTCCCTCAGTCGCCCTGAGCACGTCGGTGCCATCATCGTCAAGCTCGAGGGCGAGTCCAGGACAGCTCTAGGCGTGCCCACAGACAACCCGGGTATGGGCATCGCCGGGCGAGAACGAATATCTGGCGGGGACACCCTGCACGAGAACCACAAGATCCTGTACAAGGTCGGCCAGGTCTTCCCCGATGAGAATGCGCCACCGGCCGCCTCACCTTACCTCCTGAATCCGGGACAGCACCGGTTCCCCTTTCAGTTCAAATTTCCGTTCAACAACGCCTGCGGTAATACGGAAGCCATGGCCCGGATTGGCGGCGTGGTCAACACCGGCGGCATCTTTGGGGTTGGCTTCCGCGTCATGGATGGGACCAAGCAGCTGATGTACTCGCACGTCACCAAAACGCTGCCGCCGAGTTTCACGGGATTCCCTGGGGAAGCCGAGATCCGGTACTACGTCAAAGTTACAATACAACGGCCTGGGATATTCAAGGAGAATTGGCGATACCAGATGGGTCTCAAGTTCCTGCCCATCGAGCCCCCAAGGCCGGCCAAGTCGAACCAGGAGGCATACGCCAGACGGCCCTTCACCTTCCAGCCGAGGAGTCCCAGTCCATCACCGTACCAAAAAAAGCGCTCTTCCTTCTTCGGGGGACTCTCAACGTCTACCAGTAGCCGGCCAGGAGGCCCGCCATTACCTGATCCCGCCTCGGTCGCCGCTCCTTCGATCGAGATGTCTGCCCGCCTCCCACACCCTGCCATTCTCACTTGCAACAAATCGATACCCCTCCGGTTGATAGCGAAGAAGCTGGTGCCTGCGCAGGCCGACGTATATCTAGTAGCAATGCAAATCGAGCTCATTGGCAAGACCACGGTGCGCTGCCAGGATTTAGTCAACACCGAGGTCAACCGCTGGGTTATCCTAGCCCGCCACGGCCTTTCTACTCTCGTGTCCAAACCAGAAGACCCCGTGGGGACCGAATTCGTCGTGCCAGACATACTCTGGAGTGGCGCTCCGCTCCCCAACACAGTCATGCCGAGTTTCCTGACATGCAATCTCAAGTATCTCCCTCCAATTCGCTTCATATGAGAACCCCCCCCCCCCCCCCCAAGCATCCACTCACATACTTACTCACCACTAGGCGCGACTACCAACTCGAGGTAAGACTCGGTCTCGCCTGGGGTAAACCCTCCACCATTGGCCCCAACATGTTCCTCGGGCGCGGGAAATTCGCCGACGCCGCCAACCGCCCGCCAGAACTCCACCTCAACCTCCCATTCAGCACCATCCAAGTCTACTCGGGCCTCACCCCCCCAGCCGAGCTTGTCGAAGCCACCCGCCAAGGGCGTGGCCGCAACCCCCGCCCCCAAAGACCATCGCCCTCACCCCAAGCAGCAGCAGCAGCCGGTCCATCCTTCCTCTCTCTTCCCCTCCGCAGCACCACACCTTCCCCCACGCTCAACCCAGTTCTCACAAACCCAACCCGCCGACGCACTCTACCCGCCCAAGCTGGGGCCGGGATCAGGGGCCAGGGCAGGTGCAGGCGAGTCCGCCGTATGATGACGCCGCCGCCGACATACGCAGGAGGCCATGGCCGAGGAGATGACGGGCCGGTGTTTCTCTGCTGCCGCGCGAGGCCCGCCTTATAGCGCGGGTCACGCATGAGAATTGGGCTCGAGTAGTGTTGGTTTGTAGGTTGCCAGCTTGAATAGGGTAGGGGTAATGGTATATTTTTTGGGGAAGCAAAGTTGGGGAAG